GAAGGGTTGACAACCCTGTGCAGTTTGTTTTGCTGTTGGTGCCCCTGTTTAAAAAAAAATCACCTTCCTTTCTGTCCCTGTGAGAATTGGATTTTGGAAATTTTGTTTTGTTATGTAAACAAGGATTGGTGATAAAGCTTCAGCAAAGACACCTTTCCCCCATGATGACTCTTCCAGGAATGAATTTCCCTTCCAAGGGGTAGATTTTTCCAACTTCCTATTGTCTCAGGAGATAATCTGATTTGCTAAACAACTTTTTATGAAGCACTGTCAGCATTCTAGTTGCAACTGTTTTTCTTCCCTATTTATTGGAAAATAGATAGAAAGCAATTAGGATGAAAAAAATTATTTCAATGGATAAAGCAATTTTATTTTCTGCTTACAGTTGGGTATATCTATATCACCAATGAGGAGAACGGCTTGTTATTAAAAGCTCCAGAAATTGGTATTGAGAAGCTCTACTATGACGGAAACATGTTTAAGGTACTCTTGTTTATCACAAACCTAATGTTTCAGTTTTAAAAATATATTTAGCCAGCACTCCATTGATGTCTGTTATGTTTTATGCAGATTCAAGTACCTTTTTGGATGACTGGGAAAACTTGTGGATTATGTGGAAGATATGATGCTGAATATGAACAAGAATATAAGATGCCCAGTGGATACATAGCTGAAAATGCTATGAGCTTTGTTCAGTCATGGACAGTCCCAGATGATTCTTGTGCCACAGGTCAGGAAACTATCCACAATATTCATATTTTTAGGCACAAACTTACTTTTTTTCTTCACCTCTACTTACCGTATAGACTATACTCCTTTATAAGTCAACCTCGTGTATAAATCAAGAGCAGATTTGGGGGCCAAAATTATGAATGTTTATATGACCTGTGGGTTCTGCAGAGAAGAGAAAGTACCAATGCTGTCTTGGGTGGCCAGATGCTCCTGATCACTGCCATCATTTCCCTGCATTCAAAAAAGCCAAAACTGGTACCACAGAGAAGAGAGTAAAACAGGGTTGGTGCTTCTTACAGGTTTTTCTGGAGTTAGCTCTTTTCTTTTGCTGCTCCACTCAGATGATAGTTCCTTTTTAAATAAGAGTTTATAGACAGTATTAACATTTATCAGAGGATAAGTTTGCCCAGGTTTTGAGGACTGATTTTTTTACTTCTTTTCCCCTGGTGGCACAATGGGTTAAACCCTTGTGCCATCAGGACTGAAGACCGACAGGTCAGAGTTTTGAATCCGGGGAGAGCATGGATGAGCTCCCTCTATCAGCTCCAGCTCCCCATGTGGTGACATGAGAGAAGCCTCCCACAAGGATGGTAAAACATCAAAACATCCGGGCATCCCCTAGGCAACGTCCTTGCAGACGGCCAATTCTCTCACACCAGAAGCGACTTGCAGTTTCTCAAGTCGTTCCTGATATAAACATATATATATATGGTAACTGTGCACATATATACAAAGCAATATGGTCATTTTCGCTCCATGGGGCAAATTGCCTGGCCTTCACAAGAGTCAAACCGATGAACTAGATGGGGTGAGAGTGAATCATAGGTTGCTTGTTGAGATATAAAGACTGGGGGCATAATATTTTTTTTCAAGACTCAGAACTGGAAATAATTTGGGCAGATATCCCATTCCCACTTCCTAAACCAACACAAAGTATATTGCACCACTCTGGACCAGCAAAAACGCATAGTAAAACAGGCATGAAAGAGTTGACAGGTCTTCCTTGGCCATTCTGTTTTTGAGTTGTTTCATGCAGGAATTTCATGCCATGAATGGAGCCGTGGTGAGGAAAGCCAATTTGCATGCAAAAATATTTAGACTCATTAAAAAGTGAGGAATTTGCATAAACCTTGCTATGGCACAGAATTTGCTGGTTTCAGTAGTAAGAAAAAATATTTAATTCCTTCGATATCCAGGGTTTTTTTGCCCACAAAATAATTACAGTCAGCCCTCCACATTTGTTGGAGTTAGGACCTTCATGAAAGTGAAAGGCTGCAAAGAAAAAAATGCTATTTATTTACCTAAGAGAGCACCTTTCTAGGAGTTTCTGCTAGAAATTAACCACAGAGGTGTTAGAAATCTCTAGGTCCTCCAGCATCACTGAAAGAAGAGAACATTTTAATCAAATTTGTGAATAATCACATCCACAAAAGTCAGCATTGCAAATGTGGAGGAATGGTGGTATACCTTTCCTTCAGTTTGCTGTCAATTTTAACAAAGTTGTCTATCAAGTTTTTACTCAAGATGCAGACTTCTAAAGCAGACATACATTGTCACACTGCGAAAAAAATAATTTCTGAATAGCCACCAAACTTTTTATTTTTTTTTTATTCCAGAGTCTGCTGCCATTCCAGCTTAAAGAACAGAGAACAGTAGACCAAACATTCAACAAGACAGAAGATATAATTGATGCTTGTACAGCATGTTTCTAAGAAGAGCCACAATGAATAATTGAATGCTGCAGAGCCAAGGGTTAGAGGTTCCAGCATTTTCAAGATGGAAGACAAATGTATTTCTGCAGAGCCATGAAGTTAATTCAAACTGTAAAACCACCTATCTTTTTTTTCCTTCAATGACTGATTTTCCCTGTGATCATAATCAATACTTTCAAAAATCTGAATCATAACATATTCAATAAATTATTATCTGCAACAAAGCTGCATGTTATTTTGTCTAATGAAATATCACATTATTTTCTTTATGATTAATATGTTATTTATTTTCAATTTACATATTAATAAAAGAGTGAAATAAATCTATATGCATGTATATATGCATGAACCAATACAATTCTTCCAAACATCTAAACAATATTTATGTTTGGTTATGCTCTCCCCTCTTCCCACTCCTCCCAATTTAGTGATTTCCCATCCCTTGGGAAATACCACAGTCAGACTTTGAAGCTGCAAGGCCATTCAGTGCTAATAAAGGTGGCCAACGGCAACATTCACACTTGACACAAGCAAACAAGAGTTCTTTCTCCCACCCTGAACATTGTTCTACAGATTTATAAACCCCATTTGCCTAGTTTCCAACAGATCTCACAACCTCTGAGGATGCCTGCATACTCATAGATGTAGGCAAAATGTCAGGACAGAATGCATCTGGAACATGGTCAGACAGCCCAGAAAACTCACAGCCACTCAAATACCACATTATTTTCCTACATTGTGAGATCAAGCAAAATAAGGGCATTGCCCCTCCAGATAAAAATTCCCTCCCCCGGTGTCCTCAGAGGTAACCCACTTCAGCAACCAGATGTATATAGGCAGTTTCCGAGTTACAAACATCCAACTTACAAATGACTCACAGTTAAGAACAGGGAAAGGACAACAGGAAGTGAGAGAAATCTACCGCCCAGAAGGGAAGTTCACTAGCTATTATCATGGGGGAAAAGTGTCTCCACTGAAGCTTTCTCACCAATCATTGTTTCTACGAGTCAAAAGTTTTCAGAAAGGCAGAAAGTGAGATGAAATCTTCTCAGCAGGGGAACAGAAGGCAAAATAAACATCACAGGGGTATTGACCCTTCCCTATGCTAACCAAAGCAATATATTTGGCTGGAGTTACACTTAAATACTACAGCTCCCAGTGATGCAGCAGGTTAAACCACTGAGCTGCTGAACTTGCTTGCCGAAAGGTCAGCGGTTCAAATCCGGGGAGCAGGGTGAGCTCACGCTGTAAGCCCTAGCTCCTGCCAACCTAGCAGTTTGAAAACATGCAAGTGTGAGTAGATTAATAGGTACCGCTCTGGCAGGAAGGTAATGGTACTCCTTGCAGCCATGCTGGCCACATGACCTAGGAGGTGCCTATGGGCAACACCGGCTCTTCAGCTTAGAAATGGAGATGTTCACCACCCCCTAGAGCCATGATGGTGAACCTAAGACATGCGTGTCAGCACTGACACACATGGCTATTTTTGATGACACACGGCCACATGCGGCCGCATACAGAGAAGTACACCTTATAAGAGCCAATCTAATTCCATCTTTAAATTTGTAAAAGGCTCTACAAATTTAACATCTGCACGTTTGAGCATTGTTCACTCCATAACTCAGCATGGATTATACATTTTTTTCTTATTTAAACTATAAATATTGCAAAATTATGTTTATTTTATCTCAAAGTTGACACCCCACCCAAGTTATGGTCAATTATGCCAAAAATTTGGCAAATTTTGACACACCAAGCTCAAAAGGTTGCCCATCACTGCCCTAGAGTCAGACACGACTAGACTCAATGTTAAGGGGAAACCTTTACTTCAAACTTTAAAAAGTACCTGTTTCAGCTTACATGCAAATTCAATTTAAGAACAAATCTACAGGACCTATCTTGTTCGTAACGTGGGGACTGCCTGTACATTAAATCTGAAGCAAATGTGGTAGAACAAACAGCTTTCTTTCACTGCTTGAGGGAGGCTCATCTGGATTGGCTCTTGATTGCAAGATGATCAGCTATGCACAGATGGACAAACAAGGACATCTAATCAGCTCTCAACAAAAGTTTGCTCTAGGCACTGTCAGGTCATTATATGCTAATCAAGGTGGTCAGTTGAAACATTCACACCTAGCTCCAGCAGACAAGAGTCCTTTGTCTCACTCTGGTCATTCCACAGATATATAAACCCTTTTGCCTAGTTCTAACAGACCTCACTACCTCTGAGGATGCTTGCCATAGATGCAGGCGAAACGTCAGGAGAGAATGCCTTTAGACCATGGCCATATAGCCCGAAAAAACCTACAACAACCCAGTGATTCCGGCCATGAAACCCTTCGACAATACATTTGCACAGATGTAAGACAGTGGAGTCGTGAGAACTTTAGCTTGAGAGAGTGCTATGTTTACCTGCACAAGAGGTGGGGGTGGGGTGAAGGAGTTGAAGCCAAAGGCGCTTCTTTTCCTATGGGGATGGCTAGCCAGTAAAACGGGGCCGTCCTTTAGGCTCCTCCCTTTCTGGGCGGGGCCAGGCGCCCTTTTCCTCCTCCTCGGCCCCTTTAAGGTTCCAGGTTCCCCCTACAGCTCTCCCTCTCGCGCCGCTAGCAGAGCGATTGGATCCGGGCGCGCGCGCACACCCCAGACGCTGTTCCTAAAGGCCGGCCGCCCCCCTCCCTCTTTCTCGGCATGGAAAGGTGGCTGCTAGGCAGCGCGGGCGCGCGCTCCTCCTTGCTCGCGTTCCTCGTCTTCCTAATGCTGCAGCTGCGGCTGGGCTCCGGCGCGTGCCCGTGTCGCGAGCCCGAGCTTTGCAAGCCCATCTCGGGCAGCCGGGACTTCGAGGTGCGCTTGGATTGCAAGCAAGCAAGCAAAGCTTTCTCTCTCCATAGAAAGGCAAAAATTGGGGTGGGAAAAAGGAGGAAGGCGAGGAATCTAGGACCCAGGGAGCTCGGAACCGTTTTTTTCTTTTTCTAAACCAACATTGATAGGCAGTCTTTGATTAATGCTATCTACTTGCAGGGACTTGCAAGGGAGATGGCAAGTTCCTTTTACCAGTCATTATCATTAAAACGTCCTTAACTAAGCAGTGGCAGTGCATCCCAGAGCCTCCAATGCATCTACACCAGGTATGGCCAAACTTGAGCCCTCCCTCCAGGTGTTTTGGACTCCAACTCCCATAATTCCTAACAGCCTCAGCCTCCTTTTCTCCCTCAGCCGCTTAAGGGAAAAGGAAGGGGCCTGGAGTTGGAGTCCAAAACACCTGGAGGGAGGGCCCAAGTTTGCCCATGCTTGATCTACACTATAATTAATGCAGTTTGATCCTACTTTAACTGTCATGGCTCAGTGCTGATCCTGAGAGTTGCAGTTGGATGAGGCACCAGCACTCTGGCAGACAAGTCTTGCAAAATGATATCTCCCATGATTCCATAGCATTGGGTCATGACAGTGGGGTCACACTGCATTCATTGTACAGTGTAGATTCAATGGGGGCTCTTGCAACTACAAGGTGCGCTTAGACACCCCCTCCATGTATTCAGTATAGTTTATTTCCAACTAAGAGTATCTGAGATGTGCTGCAGGGAGCCATACAAGGCATATGTCTTAAGAGTTCTTATAGACATGGACTTCTATAGTAAACATCTAAATCAGGCAAGGGCAAACATCAGCTTAAGCGGCTGAGGGGGAAAAGGAAAGGGCCCGAGGTTGCTAGGAATCATGGGAGTTGAAGTCCAAAACCCCTGGAAGGCCCAAGTTTGCTTATGCCTGAAGGGGCCTCAGGCTGTTAGGAATTGTGGGAGTTGAAGTCCAAAACATATGGAGGATCCAAGTTTGCCTATGCCTATTCTAAATAATACCTGAGGTGGCTCCATCCTCTTCTGGGGCTCATTAAACATAATAAAGAACTCTCCGGTATTAACAGGAATTATTTGGCAGACTCTGTTCATACAGCTCAGCCACTCACTCCAAGAGTTCTTTCTCCCACCCTAAACATTATTCCACAGATATATAAACCCAACTTTCCTAGTTTCCAACAGACCTCACAACCTCTGAGGATGCCTGCCATAGATGTGGGGGAAACATCAGGAGAGAATGCTTCTGGGACATGGCCATCCAGACCAAAAAACTCACAGCAACCCAAATAGAAGACAGTTTGTGGCAAGATATTTATGAAGCGTTGCTTCTTATTTTGGTGTGCTATTAATAGTAGTTAAAACAATCAGAGGTCAATGTATTGTCGAAGGCTTTCATGACCGGAATCACTGGGTTTTTGTAGGTTTTTCCGGGCTATATGGCCATGTTCTAGAGGCATTCTCCTGACGTTTTGCCTGCATCTGAGGATGCTTGCCATAGATGCAGGCGAAACGTCTGGAGAGAATGCCTCTAGAACATGGCCATATAACCCAGAAAAACCTACAAAAACCCAATCAGAGGTCAGTTTTAAGGATTCATGTGTTTTTCTGTTATTGTCTAGGAATAGCTTTGTAAAGTTGTTCCCCTTCTGACATGTTATAAAATGTCAAAACAGTCAGATTAGATGGGAAGTCCACCTCATCTAACAAACAGAAAAAAAACTCCCATATGTTGGTCTACAATTACCCCGAAAATACTAGGTCTAGCCCTATATAATTCTAAGCAAGTTAAAATTAGAAGATTCCTTGTGTTGCTGCTAAAAATGGGGGTGAACTGTATTAACAGCTTGATTTTTTTGTACTTTACCTTAGTATACTTTGAACTGCATGTAATCTCATTAACAATATTCACATCTTGCATGAGTTAATTCAGATAGGCAACCATAGCTCTTGCCCTCCAAATCAGAAGAGTAGTGGATCTCCTCTTAATTTTTGTCTGAATTTTAAAGGTACTATCCAGGGTACTGAATTCCTTGAAGGTGAATCTAAAACCTGGAGTAGATTCACCAACCTCTGAGATGGGCAAAGGTATTTTACTTGTTAGCTATGAGGAAACTGGATACCTGACAGAGGATTCATCTTCTTTAAATCCACTTTTTCATAGTTGACTTACCTTATGAATTATAAACAATTATTCAGTTGTTTACCATAGTGTTTGGAGCTATGCACAATGCAATTTTTGTATTTATCTGCCTTCATTTCCCTTTTATAATTTTTAAACTCTGGTAAAAATTGTTTAATTTTTGTTGAGGTTTTTGTGTGAATTTAATGACTGTTCTGCTGCTTTTGTTCATGTAGTTGCTTATATTTTATTAGCAACTGAATTATGATCTCCCATCCTCAACTTTTCCAGTCAAATCCTGAAATGTTTGCAAGAAAAAAAAACAGAGATTCATGGTTGTTGTTTTATTATTATTATTATTATTATTATTATTATTATTATTATTATTTCTGCAGGTTTTGGTATTTGATATAGGTGGGTCAAACTGGAAATACTACAACTGGACACATATTACAACAGTAGCAATATTTGGAAAATATGATCCTGAACTTATGTGTTATGCTCATTCAAGAGGAGCCAGAGTCGTTTTAAAAGGTTTGTTCTAACAAGGGTTTGTTCTTAAATCTTTTTTCTTCTTAAATCTTTAAGTGTACCTTTATTCCAAATTAAACTCTTTCCACTTCAAAATAAAATGGCAGGACTAGGGATGGTTTTAAAAAGGAACCAGTCCAGTCTCCAGTATAAGTTTAACACCAGAAAGTGTTGCTGGGGCAAAAATCCAGGAAAAGATACAAATCATTTTTGATTAACCACATGCTACAAGAGTACATTGTGTCATTTATTTTCTTTCATTGTTACATTAATGTCCCATTTTTCCTCCAAGTAGTATACATGATACTCTGGTCGCAAAAATATTCTCACAATAAATATGTGAGAAAGAGTGACCCACTCAAGGTCACAGAAAATGTCGTATTTCAGTCAGGACTTGAACCCGTTTTTCCCTCATTCTAGTCCAACGTCTTCATATTATGCCAACTCTGTTGGAAGACTTCAACCACAGTGGGATAAATGCAGATCAGTGAGGGGATGCTGTGCAAACAATGTACACCCTTGAAAAAGGGTGGCCACTACTTCTCATTTTTGGTGAAAAGACTCCACTAAAGGTTCCACTAAATCCTTTAGGCAAACCTTTCAGATGACCATGACATGTTTTTGAAAACTTTAAGCATTACCTTGTCCTAAATCATGTCTGATGATGTCCTAAATCATGTCTGATGATACTGTGAAGTTATGAATTAATCAGGAAAAATGTGTTTAATTTGTTAGTAGTAATACTACAGGAATCTGTTGGGACGGGATGAGAGAATGGAATTTTGTCAGTGAGTGGTGAATGGTGGAATGTCTGAGGAAATTTCAATAAAGTTGATGTTATGATGGTAACGTGGAAATGAAGAGGGTATTAGGGTTCTTTAGTGAATAGGGTTTAAGACTTTGCATTATTTAAGAGAGTTGGGGGAGGGTTTGAGTTGGATGGGAGATGAAAGCGAAGGACAATGAGAGAGATTTGAAGTATTTAATATACTTTTTTGTTATGTTCAGATTGCGTAAACACAGTAGACTTTCAGTTAACCAGAACCCAAGCAACCTGAACACTCAAACAACCAGCAAATAATAAGTAAATAAATTAGGAAGAAGTTCTGATCATAAGAGCTGTTCAACAGTGGAACTCTCTGCCTCAGAATGTGGTGGAGGCTCTATCTTTGGAGGCATACATCGTTTACTTAATGCCACTAGTAATTCAGTTACATATACCGGTGTGTATATATATTGCCTTGGGTAGAAAGTTCTCCTCATGGAAACCCTGACCTGCTGGTAAAGAATGTTTGCCTTACAATGCATACAAAGAGCTTCTGCTGCAAGGCTCCCATCTTTTGTGAAAACCTATTCCTTATGGGTCTGTTGCCTCATGTGGGATTCTGCCAGCATGGCTATAGGATCGCAGTGCAATAATTATATGTGTAAAGATAATTGTACTGGTTCTCTTGCCTGGAGACCTTCCTTGTAGGGTGAAACCTCATATAACTGAGGATGGTGCCATTTAATTGTACTGTATTTGTATATCAGCTCCCATAATGTTGATTGCCCTTCTATATGAGACTAGACATGTACTTCTACCACTTCATTTTCAGTCTCTCCTGATAGAAAAACATTTCCTGATCAATGAATCCCAACCACAGTTTTATTAATTTATGCCATTATATTTTATCACGATAATATAAATGTTGTCTGTCTGTTGTAATAATGTAATAGCCAACTAATCACTATTTGTGCTTTAGGAGATGTAACTGTGACAAAAATTGTTGACCCTGCCTTCAGAGCAGCTTGGATAAATGAGCAGGTAGAATTGGCCAAAAGGCAGTACATGGATGGAATCAATATAGACATTGAGCAAGAAGTGGCTAAATCTTCTCCCGAATACTATGCATTGACAGCTTTGGTTAAAGAAACAACAGATGCTTTTCACAAAGAGATTCCAGGATCACAGGTAAAAATGTCTAGTCTTTCATAAATATTACTTCACATTGGCCAGATATCTTATTTATTAATGCAAGAAATGTATATGCTGCTCTTAAGAAGTATAAAGTCCTCAAAGTGCCTCATAAGCAAAAATTATTAATAGGATATGTATTGTATAGCACCCAGTTAGAAACCATGGTTTTTTATTAAATTTGGATGTAGGAAATCAAACAGTAGCCTAATATCAATAAAACAAACTTCTGAAACTCCTAAAAGCTGAAGTCAGTGTTTACATCTTGACTCGTGGCAAATAGAAAAAAGTCATCAGTAACATTTCTAAAATGTTCTTTCTTACATTGAGTTCAAAACAATAAACATGGCTCTACTCCAGTCCATATCTTTAATTGTAAAACAATTCTGGGTGCATCTACATTGCGGAATTAATGCAGTTTGACACTTGAACTGTCATGGCTCAAAGAGATTTCCCCCCTTTGTTTCTTTCACAGGTAACCTTTGATATAGCTTGGTGTCCAGATTGTGTGGATAAAAGATGTTACAATTACACTGGGATTGCAGAGTCATGTGATTTTGTGTTCGTGATGTCTTACGATGAACAGAGTCAGGTGTGGTCAGACTGCATAGCAAGAGGCAATGCTCCATTCAACCAAACAATTGCTGGTAAGAACCAAAATGCCAAAAATGCTGAGGTTGGTTTTTTGGGGGGTGGAGGGAGAAATACTTGGTTCGCTATTCCAGGAGTAATAAAATTTATGTTAAGTAACATTTTAATCCTGCGCTTCAGTCAGAAAAGTTCCCAGGAGAGCAGACAAAAATCCCTAAACTGTGTTTATCACATAAAATTATACTGCATGGTGTGCTTATAATTCTTCAAAATATAGACTGTGGTTTATCTGGAAATATACCCCATTAAATACAGTGAAATATATTTTTGAATAACAATTAATAGGAGGAGAGCTGTGTTAGCTTTTTCAAACAACATCTCTTTAATGGTACACATAGCAAGATGCTATTTCAAACCATGTAAATGTTTCATTTTCATTTTCATTTTCATTTGTTTATAAAATAAAAAATGTTTATATTAGGAATAAGAATCATCAGTCTTGTTTAAAAGCAAAACCTTTTGATCCACCTATGCTTTGAAAGAGACCTCTTGACACATTAAAAGACACATGAGAGTGTTGCAACACACATGCAAGTTGTTTGGCTGAGATAGTGACATTTTTGCTTTCTGATGGTTCAATGTTCACACATTTTGTTTCATGCACAAAAATATTTTAAAATACTACATAAATAACCATCAGGCTCTGAAGAAGAAGAAAATTTCACATTTAGGCTTGCATTCCATCACCAAGATATCTCATTTTGTACATATACAGATATTCCAAAAATCTGAAAAAATCTAAAATCTCCACAATTTTTAATGGTCCTAAGTATTTCAGATAAGGGATACTCTATCTATAGGTGGCTAGCTGAAGTAGTAGAAAATCTTAATTTACTTGTTACTTTTTCTTGCTTTTAATTACCTATATTCTTATTTAAGGTGTTCTTTTCATGATTGTGTTAATAAATAAATCACAAGGAAAACTAAAAAACAACATTCTGAATGCGAAAGAGATTTTAGCTTGAATGTCTGTATTGGTAACTTTTTATTATTTTTGATACAAATGTTGCTACAAGATTAAAAAAAGAATACAAGCCTTTTGAACTTTCTAATTTTATATTAAATTAGGATATGAACAATACATTAACATGGGCATTGACCCATACAAGATTGTGATGGGTGTTCCATGGTATGGATATGATTATACCTGTCTAAGCTTAACCAAGGTAAGAGAAAAGAAAGGCTTTGCTTTTTGGATGTGTGGATTTTAAAACTATTTCTTCTTGGTATTTTATTTTATTATATTATGTAACACAACCTACCTTTCTTCAGGATCACATTTGTTCCATTGCAAAAGTCCCTTTCCGAGGGGCTCCATGTAGTGATGCTGCAGGACGTCAAGTCCCCTATAAAGGAATAATGTCTGAGGAAAAGTCTTCTTTTACTGGGATCCTGTGGAATGATGAATACAAAGCCCCATTTTTAGAATACAAGGTAAGTTGCAACTTTAAAAGTTGTTTGGTAAAAAAGAAAGCAGAACAAGTAGAAAATATCATGTCTCTCATCTTTCCCAATTCTGCAGTTTTATAGACAGGTGTTGAATAAATCATGTATACAATATTTCGTTTTCACTGAGTGCAAAGCAGATAGCTGAATTAATTCAGTAATATTATATCTATTCTGTCCCCTTCTACTTTCCCCAAATCCTACGCATAAATGTCTGCCTGCACAATATATTGTTCAGCTATTCTCATTATGATATTTCATTTGTATAATGCAAAGGAACTTAGAAAACAAAACAAAAAATAATAGCCATCCTGCCTGTGTATTGATGTCTTCTGGGAGGCCCTTTTCTCTTTCTACTTCCTGCACAAGAACATCTGGTGCTAACAGGGGACAGGGCCTTTTTGGGTGACTGTTCCTGGGCTCTGCAACAAGTCTTCTTAAAAAGTTAAAACTTTCTTCCTCTGTGTTGTCTTTTCAGAGACTGTCAAACACTTTTTTGTTTCAGCAAGCTTTTGAAGATAGCTCATGGGGCTTTTATCGTGTGCTGTACTGTCTCTTCATTGCTTTCTTTCTAATGGCTATGCTTTCAATTGGTACTAATGTTACTGATAAGTTTCATTACCTATTAAACTTCTGAACAAGACATTATTTTGCTATGTTAATTTTAACTGTAGTGGGGCCCTTCCAGACAGGCCCTGTATCCCAGGATCTGATGCTAGATAATCCATTTATCCCAGATTATCTGGCAGTGTGGACTCATATAATCCAGTTTAAAGCAGAAAATCTGGGATCAGATCCTGGGATATAGGGTCTATCTGGAAGGCCCCGTGATCTGTTTTGAATACTGGATTGGGAGAAAATGGGATATAAATAAACAGGATGACAACAGCAAGAGGGAAAGACACATATGAAATCAGTAAACAAGTGGGAGAGGCTTTTCTTGCTTTTATTCTTTCATTCCTATGAAGTTGCTTCCTTCTTGTTTACTTCCATAAACATGAGATTTCAGAGCAGAATATAGGATTACAAAAGAAAATATAAACAATGGTGAAAAAGCATCAAACACAAAGCAGAAATTAAAGAGCAATTTCAGTGCTTTAAAAAGCTATTGACTTCCTTATTTTATGTTACAGTATTAAGTTTCTTGACCATTATATCCTTTTAATGCAACCCTGATCCATAGGGTCCCTTGGATTTTTTCTGTATGTATAGGGACACCTAAACTTGTAAGACTGGTTTGAAAAGAATTCAGGAAGCATGCTAACATGTTAGTGTACAGATTCCTTGTTTCAAAAAGCAGAACCAAGTAGAAACAGAGAAGTTTACCAACAGCACACACTTTTTTCCTGCAGCCATAATCAACCTATTTTAGCTGAATATGGGAATACCCAAGGTTTTAAAACTTGGTTTTAAAAGAGACCTTTAAATGTGCTCTCACTTTCATTCTTTTGTAGGCTCCAAATGGTGTTTTTCATCAAGTGTGGTTTGATGATCCCAGAAGCATTTCTCTGAAGGCAGCCTATGTAACAGAGCGTGGCTTGAGGGGTATCGGTATGTGGAACGGAGATTGCCTTAACTACTCAGGAGGTTCTGTCGCACAAGAGCAAACAGAAGCCATGTGGGAGGCCTTGACCCCAGATTGGTCTAATTAGGAAACTTGTTCTTGCTATGTGCATCTTTTCACATATATCTTTTCTTAATTACATGTTAATAATTTTAATGCATTATTGTTAAACTGCCTTTTGCAAAAAGAGCAAATGAATGAACATAATAAATAAAGAAATATATTAAATTAATCTAAACTATCTTATCGTCCCATTTATGTTTTCTTCCATCTCTGTACTTGATGTTGTTAGCTTTGAGTATGAATATGCAGAATGGAGGGAAAGCAAAAGAACTCAAAAGGAGAATAGCGCTTACATATTCATCCCCTCTCTTTTCCATAGTTCTTCTACATCTATACATTATTTTGCCTATTACCTTCAGGATAACAGTGCCCAGATAATCTGTAATCCACAATTTGATCCTCAAATTCCTTTCTCCAAGGAGATGGGATAATAGTGATGGATCCATAAGCAAAGGCTTTAGAATTGTGACTGCAAACTGGATGGTTTGTTCATCGTTTATAAGTGTGTAGAAACAAATATTGCAGTCACATTAAGTGTATTGTGTATTAAGGAAATAAAGAATTCTACTTGCTGTGAACTTAATATAACATCTATAGCTTCTGTCTAGATTTAAAATATGTATCCTAAGAAAGAATATTATAGATCTGTACAGACAAATTAAAAAAATTAAGTTGTATGTGAGGACATATTCATTTGACTAGATCCATAGCAAAAGGAAAAACAAAGAAATGTAGGACTACTACATGGAATAGATGCTAAAAGAGCACAAAGAAAAAAGATAACTGCTCAACAACTTTGCCTTGGTCTCCTCCCAAAAGGAAACATCAACCTGTAGGAAATAGGGCAGATAATGCAGTAGGGAAAATGCAGCACAGAATAGGTAAAAGAGGTAATACATGAAAATCTGGCTACTATAAGTGAATTCAAAATTTCGGAGCGAGTAGACCTACATCCAAGGATATTACAAAAACTGGTAGAAGCCATCTCAGAACCACTGGCAATAATCTTTGATAATTACTATAAAATGTGAAAAATACCAGATTGAAGGAGGACAAATATCCTCATCTTCAACAAAGGATCCAAACAGCTATCTCCCAGGTAGATTGACCCCATCAAAGATCCCAAAGCAGGTAATTAAACAGACAATCTGTAAACACTTAGAAAGGGATGCCATGCTCACTAATAGCAAAATAAGTCATGGTAGTTTAATCTCTTGTTTTGACTTTAAGCTTGGTAGATGATGTTGTGGATGTAGCATATCTTGATTTTATTAAGGTCTTTGACAAGATCCTTCATAATATTCTTAAAACAAGCTGGTAAAATCTTGAAACAAGTTTGACAATGCTATTGTTAGGTGGATTGGGAATTGGTTGATTGTCTGATTCCCAAACCTTCAGAGAAGTGACCAGTGGCACAGGCTTCTGTTCCAGGCCCAGTGCTATTCAACATGTTTATAAATGATTTGGATGGTGGGCAGGGGCGGCTCAACCCATTACGCAAAGTAAGCATTTGCAGTATAGTTGATTTTGCCCAGGGGTGCTCTTGAGGTGCTCTTGAGGGAAAATAGACCTTGACATATGCAAGTTGTAATTACTGGGATGTATCGTTCACCTACTATACTATAAGAGCATTCTGAACTCCACCAATGATGGAATTGAACCAAATATGGCACACAACTCCCACGATGAACAGAAAATATATATCAATGATTGGTTGGGGCGTGGGGGGCATAATACTGTTTGCTTACTGTTGAAAATTACCTAGGGCCGCCTCTGATGGTGGGCTAGGGGGGATACTTACCAAATTTGCAGATGACACCAAATTAGGAGTGGTAGCTATCTTAGAGGACAGGTTCAGAATCCAAAATGATCTTAAAAGATATGTCAGCTGTTCCAAAATTAACAAAATGAATTTTAACAGGGATAAATGCAAGGGAGAAAGGCTGTAATGCACAGATATAGGATACTTGGCTTGACAACAATACATGTAAAAGAGATCTTGGAATTTTAGTAGCCCACAAGCTGAGCATGAGTCAACAGTGTGATACAGCAGCTAAAAAGCCAACACAGTTCTAGGTTGCTGCATCAATAGGAGTATAGTGTTAAGATCGAGGGAAGTCATAGTCCCCCTCAGTTCTGCTATGGTCAGACCTCACCTGGTGAGGCACCACAATTGAAGGATATTGACAAGCTGGGAGGTGTCCAGAGGAGGGCGACTAAAATGATCAAATGTTTAGAAACCACGTCCTATGAGAAGCAACTTAGGGAGCTTGGTATGTTAAGCTTGAAGAAGAAGAGGTCGAGAGGGGACATGATTACCATGTTTAACTATTTGAAAGCATGCTACATTGAGGAAGGAACCAGTTTGTTTTCACATGTTCCAGAAATGAGGCAATGCTCCAGAAACAGAGCAATGGATTTAAAGTACAAGAACAGAGATTCCACCTAAATAATAGGAAGACTTTATTGATGTTAAGAACTGCTGCCCAATGGAATCTGCTGTCACAAGGTTACCTCAAAGTCTAGTTCTCTGGAGCTTTTTAAACAGGGACTGGAGGGCTTTGGTTTGTGTGTTCATGAATGGAAGGGGTCTGTATTTGTGGTTTCTACCAACTCTGATTCTATACAAAGCATATTATCTGCAGAAATCAAGGTCCATTATTTTCCATGGAAATGGCAGCAAGAGATTGGACCAGTTAATCAGTACCATTCTGCCACTGAGGTCAAAGTGCATAGTTAATGTACTTATCTTATTCAGCAGATGGTGACTGCTGCGCTCACAAATATCCTTTACCTTGTATTGTCGAAGGCTTTCATGGCTGGAATCACTAGGTTCTTGTGGGTTTTTTTCAGGCTATAGGGCCATGTTCTAGAGGCATTTCTCCTGCCGTTTCGCCTGCATCTATGGCAAGCATCCTCAGAGGTAGTGAGGTCTGTTGGAATTAGGACAATGGGTTTATATATCTGTGGAATGGCTGGGGTGGGGCAAAGAGCTCTTCCCTGCTGGAGCTTTACCTTCTCCTCTACAATGTCTTATTTATTATTTATTTATTTATTAGATGCACTTATTAACCGCCATTCTCAGCCCTTACGGGCGACTCATGGCAGTGTACAGTACACATAAAAAGACAGTTACAAAAGCCAATATCTACAATACACACAATACAACAATACAAACTACATAAAAATCCGCTTCGTCTCTTAGTAGAATCGTAGGCCAGTCTCCTCGTCCTTATACCATTCCAATTCTCATTACCGTAATGACATTGCTAGCACTTAATTAAATGCCCTCTCGAACAGCCAGGTCTTAAGGCTTTTTCGAAAGGACATGAGGGAGGGCGCCTGTCTAATGTGTGCCGGGAGAGTGTTCCACAGCCGGGGGGCCACCACCGAGAAGGCCCTCTCTCTCGTCCCCGCCAGCCGTGCCTGTGATGCAGGCGGGATCGAGAGAAGGGCCTCCCCAGACGATCTCAAGGTCCTCGTGGGCTCGTAGGCCAAGATGCGGTCAGCAAGGTATTTTGGGCCGGAACCGTTTAGGGCTTTAAAGGCCAAAACCAGCACCTTGAATTGGGTCCGGTAGCAGATCGGCAGCCAGTGGAGCTGGGACAGCAAGGGCGTTGTATGCTCCCTGCCACCCGCTCCAGTTAGTAACATGGCTGCCGCACGCTGAACCAGCTGAAGCTTCCGGGCCGTCTTCAAGGGCAGCCCCACGTAGAGAGCGTTGCAGTAATCCAGGCGGGATGTGACAAGAGCGTGTACAACCGTGGCCAAGTCAGACTTCCCGAGATACGGGCGCAGCTGGCGCACGAGCCTGAGCTGTGCAAATGCTCCCCTGGTCACCGCTGAAACCTGGGGATCCAGGCTCAACGATGAATCCAGGGTCACACCCAAGCTGCGAACCTGCGCCTTCAAGGGGAGTGCGACCCCGTCCAGCACAGGCTGTAACCCTATACCCTGCTCGGCCTTGCGACTGACCAGGAGTACCTCTGTCTTGTCTGGATTTAATTTCAGTTTGTTCGCCCTCATCCAGACCATTACAGCGGCCAGGCACCGGTTCAGGACCTCGACAGCCTCCTTAGTAGCAGGTGGAAAGGAGTGACAGAGTTGGACATCATCTGCGTACAGATGACACCGCACCCCGAAACTCCGGATGATCTCACCCAGCGGCTTCATGTAGATGTTAAACAGCATGGGGGACAGTATGGAACCCTGTGGCACACCACAAGTCAAAGGTTGTGGTGCGGAACAGGAGTCCCCCAATGACACCTTCTTCTATATGGGAATTTATATATGGGAATTTATATGTCTTCTATATGGGAATTTATAATTAGTTTTTTCTTCTTGTGTGATATTTTCATTTTTTAAAATAATCAGAGCAAATGTTTGTTTAGAAACATACTGTTCTGATTTATTTGTGATGACTGCCAGCAGCTTTCCAAGGTTTCAGATAGAAGCGTTTCTCAGTCCTACCTGCAGAGCATGTGCTCTGTCACGGAGCTAGAGGCCTTCTCCATGAATTTTTTTTCAGTTTCTCACACAGTCCCAAAGTGAATTTACATATTCTTCTCAAAGTACCAAATGATTTCCAGGCAGCATTTTCAGATTCTCCAAATAGCAATAGTGGATAGTTGAAACTTATGACATACAGCATTGACAACCAAGCAGTAGAAATTAATAATCACTTGAGGGAGGACCGTGAACCCTGCACAATTTGCTGGATTTCTCCTCCTTTTAAACCAGCTCTTCACCAACTTTGATCGTTTGGACTTCAGCTCCCAGAATCCCTACTCATTGGCCAAGGCAGCTGAGGCTTCTGGGAATCGAAGTCTAAGCGGCTTGTATTGTCGAAGGCTTTCATGGCTGGAATCACTAGGTTCTTGTGGGTTTTTTCGGGCTATAGAGCCATGTTTAGAGGCATTTCTCCTGACGTTTCGCCTGCATCTATGGCAAGCATCCTCAGAGGTTGTGAGGACCTCACAACCTCTGAGGATGCTTGCCATAGATGCAGGCGAAACGTCAGGAGAAATGCCTCTAGAACATGGCTCTATAGCCCGAAAAAACCCACAAGAATCTAAGCGGCTTCTTTCGCGACAAGGTGGTTTGGCCCGTCCCGCCTCCTGTAGGCTGAATAAGGCGAGGAGGAAAGAACGCAAAGCAGCCTTCATGAAGGAACATGCAGGTGTGGTTGGTGGGCGGGGGCGCGCGCCTCCTTGCGGTCGCGCGCCTCTCCATCTGCTTGGGGTTGGGCTGGGGCTGTGGCGCGTGCCCCTGCGAGGACGGGGCGCTCTGCAAGCCCATCTCGGTGACGAGGGATTTTGAGGTGCGCACGCGCAAGAAGCCCTCCCTCCTTGAGCTGGGCGGAGGAAAGGGCTGGTTAGGGAGCGCGCGGCTAGTGACGTCAGGGCGAGGGCGGGGCGGAGTCCAACGGCTTTCAGAGCTGCGGGTTTGGGTGCAGCCTGGCTAGTGGTTCAGGGTGGTGGGAGTTGCAGTCCACATTCCTGCTTAAGAGCCACGCAGGTGGAAAGTTGGTCTCTGAAGGACTCTTAAGTCACAATGCCTCATCCATGGTCAGGTCATTAGACTCCCGCTGCATGCCATGGCATCCTAGGAGTTATTTGGTCTCTACTCTAGATGCACCCTAAGCTAGAGGCCTTCTCCAGTAGTTAAGTTGTCTGGGGATTCTGAGAGTTGCAGTCCAATAGTAGCTGCCCAAGGCTCTAACTTCCAAATGGAATTAGTTCTGTGGGTTTCAGGAAGGAGGCTTTCCTCCCTCCTTGGGATTGTCAAAGCCAAACTTGGGGAATCGTATGATAGCTGGATCTGGAAGCTCCGAGCGTTAAGGCTTCGGGAGAGCTGTTTGCTCAAGAGAGACTTAGGTAATGTAAGCCAGGTCGGAGAGAGATAATATAGAAGGAATGTAAGAGTTCTTTAATGGTGAAACCCTAACCCTGAAACATACCATAAGCCTTAGCCTAACCCCTTACTCAAACCCTAAACCTTACTCTAACCCTTAACCGTAAACCATAATCCTTACCCTAACCGTAACCTAAACCCTAAACCTTGCCCTAACCCTTACCCTAAGCTTCCCCTCCTTTCTATCCTTCCTTCGCTCTCCCCGCTCTCACTCCACCTCCTCTCTTCCCTTATTCACAACCGCCTTTGTGGCATCTCCGTAACACTCAGAGCTTCCAGACCCAGCTATCATAGTATCACCCGAACTTATTTCACTGAACTATGGTCTCCCTTGTACCATAACTACTTGGTGCAGAGCTATTAAAAAACAACTACCTGTACAATACAACCCCCCAGATCCGTTTTCTGAAAGTCTTTTATGCAGATTATTGAGTAAAGTTGTGTCCTTTATTCCTAATGCTTCAGAGGGCATGACAAGAACTAATGGGTGAAAATGTCAGGAAAGCAGATTTCAAACCTTAGGAAACACTTCTTAATAGGTCAAGTTGTTTATTCTTATTATTTATATCCTGCTTTTTCTCCATACGGAGACTCAAAGCGGCCTACAACTAAAAGCACTGCAATACAACTTCAAATATACAAGCATTAAAACAGTGTTAAACATCTTTAAAGGCACATAAAATAACAGCAGCCACTGAGGATCTTAAATACCTTTTAAAATCTGCCAGAAATACATCAGGGAGGAGACCATTCTGGCTTCCCTGGGAAGGGAGTTCCACAGTCAAGGGGCAGCCTCTGAGAAGGAAAGCCCGCTCTCTCGTTCCCATCAACTGAGCTTGGGATGGAGGTGGAACCGAGAGAAGAGCCTCTCATGAAGATCTCAGGGTCTGGGCAGGTTCGTACAAGAGAATGCATTTGGCCAAATAGCCTGGACGTTGGAGGAACAGGCAGTTTTGGCTGGATGATCATCATGCTATTTTAAATTGTAAGTAGCTCGGAGCACCTTGGTGGAGAGCAACTAATTAAGAAATAAAGTGAAGTAAAGTGATGGATACTGTGTCAGCATCCTGCAGTGAAGAGACTGCAGTTTGGAAGCTATCTGAGATCTCTTCCAATTGTATGGTTTCAGATCCAAAGTTTGGAAAACAGCATTTGGTGAATTTAAGGCATTCTTATTTCAAACAGACATTTGTATCCCATCCTTCTCAACCCCTCCCTCCCTCCCCGGAGGGGAGAGGGTGCTCAGGGCTGCTTTCAACTGGCATCAATTAGATGCCAACACATACAAACAAAAGCAACATAACACAAATTAAAGATTAGTTAAAACATTAAATTATAAAATATCAATTTAAAACATTATTAACAACAATATAGCCACATCCAAATCCAATTCAGCATGCAGAGTCCACTACGAAGTCTGTCCATTATGAATTCTCATGAATCATTGTGGTTGCTGCTAAGCCTGCTACCTGAATGCCTGATCCCAAAACCATTATTGAGCTTTTTCTAAAGGAAATGAAAGTTGGAGTTGACCTAATTTGACTGGGGAGTGTGTTCTAGAGATGGGGGGGCCCAACACCGAGAAGGCCCTGCCTCTCATGCTTGCGAGGGAGGTGGGATCGAGAGCATGGCCTCCCCCGATGATCTTAAACTTCGAGCTGGATTATAGAGCGAGATCTGTTCGGACAAGTAAGCTGGGCCAGAACCGTATAGGGATTTATAGGCCAAGACCAGCACTTTGAATTGTGCTTGGATATGGATCAGCAGCCAGTGAAACTGACATAACAGGAGGCTGGTATGCTCCCTGTATGTTGCTCCATTGAGTAATCTGGCTGCTTACTCCGGTGAGTAATCTTGAGCCAAGATTACGCTGGTGAGTAATCTTGAGCCGTTTGCTCTCAAACTCTGGCTCAAACCAGGCATTAAGGACAGCATGGGTTCTTTGTGATGAAACTGTTTTCCCTTCCACAATGTAAGTTCCTCAGATATACTTTGTCTCAGCAACCAGATGTATACATTAAATCTGTGTTTATCTTCAAATTGCCAGTAATAAAAAATGCCTATTTTTCAAGTTATGGAGCTGAAGAAAATATAGTAGAACTAGCTGCTGTCTTTCACCACTTGAGGGAGCACCTCTCCAAGTGTATTGTCTGATTTGGCTCTATTGCAGAATGATCAACTTCACAGATCTAATTTAAACCATGCTATTCAAGACAGTGGACTCATGAAAATGTTAGCGATAGAGTGCTATGTTTCCCTGCTGTGCATCTGCAGGTCTTTGTATTTGATGTTGGTGGGAAGACCTGGAAATTCTATGACTGGTCACAGATTACAACGGTGGCAACTTTTGGAAACTATGATCCTGAGCTCATGTGTTACGCTCATTCCAAAGGAGCCAGGGTAGTTTTAAAGGGTACGTCTTAACTAGAGTAATGAGGATATATGCTAACTGCCTGCTTATCCATATGGCTTCTCAGACATTCCACTGAGGTGCATGAAATGTATTTCTATGAAGCATACATGAAGTTGCTGCACCCTTAAATCATTTTGCAGTGCAGTCATGCTGGCCACATGACCTTGGAGGTGTCTACAGACAACGTTGGCTCTTCAGCTTAGAAATGGAGATGAGCACCAACCCCCAGAGTTGGACATGACTGGACTTAATGTCAGGGGAAAACCTTTACCTTTACATTCCTTGTGGTATTTAGAAGAAAATTTGCACCCACAATGTCAAGATAGGCTAGTGGGGATGCTTGGATTGTGTATTTCTGCATGGCAGGGGGGTTGGACTGGATGGTCCTTTTAGTCTATTACCAACTCTTATAATTTATTATTATATTATGACACCTCTATTATAATAGTATGATGCAGTGATCAGATGGAGAAGGGATCCTTTTTAAACCTGACAATTTTAGAAGCGTGTATTCTAAGGACTAAAACAGTATTCTCCCTCCACTCTTTTATGTAAAAAAATTACCTGTGATTTCAACAGAACTGCTAATTGTATGATCTCATGAGTTATCACAGTGTTGTGATAAGTGCATTTTAATTGATTATGCGATTAATCAGTTTAAACTGCACAGATTTGCAATAAATCTAAAGATCTTGTTTTTTATGAGACACACTTGTTTTGTAACAGGTATTTTCTTAGGCACTCTAAAAAGTTTTCTTTTAATGTGATAATTATTGCTTTTTAGAATTCTTCCCTTTTTTAAAAAAAGGTTTGTATTATAAATAAGTTTAAAAATTAAATCTTTAACTGATTCATTAGGATTTGGATTACTTAATAAATGTAAGTCCTATTAAATTGTTTAAGATACACATTACAAGTACTCTGCAGTTTATTATAAGTAATTTCTAGTAATGTTTATTCATGTTTTATCCTCTTTAGAAATCATCAGAGTGATTTTAGCAAGTGAAGACTTTTTTTTAGAAGAGAAGCAATGCAGCTCAGTGGCAGCTGATGGTTTCCATTTCAGTGGGTTGATTAATCCGTCTTGTATTTTAGTCTAAACTTTGAAGTAGCTACCTAAAGTGCTGGCCCCTGTCTCCAAAATAGTTTCTACATCTTTGATAATTTCTTTAAAATGCAGATTAAAGCTCAGGGAAGATTCACCACTGTTCATGTGGGAGCCACCAGGCACTGATGGTGTAGATTTTTGTGTGTGTGTTAGGAGCGATTTGAGAAACTGCAAGTTGCTTCTGGTGTGAGAGAATTGGCCATCTGCAAGGACATTGTCCAGGGGACGCCCAGATGCTTGATGTTTTACCATCATTGTAGGAGGCTTCTCTCATGTCCTCACATGGGGAGCTGGAGCTGACAGAGGGAGCTCAACTCGCTCTCCCTGAATTCAAACCACTCACCTATCGGTCAGCAGTCCTTCCAGCACAAGGGTTTAACCCATTGCACCACCGGGGACTTGCTGGTGTAGTCATCAGAAGACATATCCACTAACTGTATCACAAATGGCCTTTCCTAAGCTGCTAAACAGATGGGCAGAGTATATCCTAACTTCATATTATTTATGCTCCTTGATGTACCCTTGACTAGAGACTAAGAAGGCCATTAGCTATTTATTTTAATAATTTTAACCTTCCTATTTGTCCTAAAAGATATTCAAGAATAATGGGTTTAGATAGCCATGAAACAAATGGATACCGCTGTAATCTTAAGTATATTTACAATGCCATAGAATTCATGAAGATATAATTTTGAGCAAACAATATTTAAGATTAAGGTGTCTCAAAACCCTGCTAACTAATCATAATGTTTATTTGGCTTTTTAGGTGACATACCTATGAAGGAAATTGTTTCTCCAGCAGTCCGAGCTGCCTGGATAAAGCAAAAGACAGACCTTGCCAAAAAGCAGCATATGGATGGGATCAACATGGACATTGAACAGAAGGTGAAAAGAAAGTCACCTGAATACTATGCATTGACAACTTTGGTTAAGGAAACAACAGAAGCTTTTCACAAAGAGATTCCAGGGTCACAGGTAAAAAAACAAGCACAGATTTTCGTACATATCGCTATTTCAGTCTGGCCTTAACTAATTCTATTCTAAGCACCATTTATAATAATAAAAAAATCAATCAATGATTCCCCATGTTTGAGCCCAAATGCTACTCTTCGTAATACTTAAACTGCAAGCATAAATTTTAGTACATGAAGTCCCTTGGGTAACTCACACCAGAAAAAAATGGCATCTGTAGAAATTTATTCATAGAACTTCTACTCTCCCTTCTGATGTGAATGCTCTCAAAGGGATTTCAAAATAATTATCACTGAATACAGTATCAAAAAGTCCACAGTAATAAAAGAGGAAATCAAACAGATAGCTAAAGTAAATTAAATCAAATGCCCATTAGAAAGATTTTGTTTGTCACCTATACAAAAAAGACACAGGCAAATATTTAATGTAGTTAAGATGGAAACATTTTCAAAGATAGTAATTTGTTTGCAGTAACACTGTATATGTTGGTATTATAAAACCAAATGTAAAAAGATTTTCTGTTTAGAACAGATGAGTGTGGGATATCCTTTCTTTCTTGCTCTAGGTAACTTTTGATGTAGCCTGGTCCCCAAAATGTACAACCTACTTTAGATGCTACAACTACTCTGGGATTGCTGATTTTTGTGACTTTATGTTTGTAATGTCTTATGATGAAGGGAGTCAAGGATGGTCGAAATGCATAGCAAGAGCCAATGCGCCTTATAAACAGACTATATCTGGTAAGAACTATTCTTAGCTTTGGACTATGAAAAAGTATTGGCTGGCCCATTTATTACAGATCCAGTAATCTTAGTTGTTGCACTGTATATTGAAAAACACACTTTTCAAAAATCTCCTTCAGTTGTTTGAAGGCAGTACACAACTAATATTATGTTTGATAGAGTTTTGAGACATATTTTTTAAAAAATCAGAGATAGAACCAGATTATCAGTTCAATTGGTGCAGCTACATACACACTCTCTCTCTCTTGAAGCCCAGTGTTTTAAGCTTCCTCTTTTCTCCAGTCACTTTCTGATTCTTTCAAGATTTCTGTCCCCCAACAGTTTGAATAACAGAAAAAATATTTTTGTATTGCTATTGTGCTATTTCATTGTAAAGTATTAATTAATATTATTTCTGTGATAACTCTCATAGGATAAATCTGGCATGCTCAAGGAGGAGCCTCATTTTGCAAAGTGCTCTAACCACCTTTATCTGATTTTGATCACAACAGGGGAAATTGCAGCCATCTATTTAAAATAGAAAAAAAATCAGTATTTGTTCTTATGAAGGGCATTTTCTTAGTGATTAAATTAAAATGAAAACCGACAGTAAACACTGTTCTCCAAAGAGGAAATTGTATGTGAAAAAGATGAATAGGTTTAATTGTATCTTGAATATCTGATTCTGTGACCTATAATTTGTTGATATTATAAATATACCTGCAGAAATGGAAGAATAAAAGACATGTGGGCAATTTTAAAAATTTTATATTGAATTAGGATATGACAATTACATTCACATGGGCATCAGTCCAAAGAAGCTTGTGATGGGTGTTCCATGGTATGGCTATGATTATACGTGTCTAGGCTTATCTAAGGTAAGAGAAAGACAACTAATTTCTAACCATGTTTTTTTTTCACTGCGACCTGTATGATTTTATTTTTATGACATGATTCTACTCCAAGCAGTTTTAATAGTTCGAGTATCTGTATTATTTTATCAACATATAAATCTGCCCACATTGGGTGCCTTACTGAAACTTTAGCATGTAGACCAGGACTATTCAGCAACATATTTAGTCAAGGTGGAAAAAACAGAATCATACACCTGGAAGGGAGGGATCCCAAGAAACCTCTAGTTCAACCTCTTACAGTGTATGGATTCAATACTACAATATCACTGAAATATTGCCATCAAACTTCTGTTCCAGTGAAAAAGGGTCTATCATTTTCTCAGGGAGTTTCTTTCACAAACATATTATAATAATAATAAAACTTTATTTATACCCCACCACCATCTCTCCAAGAGACTCGGAGCGGCTTACATGAGGCCAAGCCCAACAGCACATCAAAAACAATAAGCAATGATAAAATAACAAGCAATAAACAAAATAAACAATACAATTAATATAACACACAAGAATTTAAGAACCTATGGCTGGGCCCAATGTAATAGTTAAAACTTTAAAAAATAAATGCTGGACATGAACAGAGGATGTATCTATTTAGAGGGTTTTAAATCAAAAGTAAAGAGCAACCCAACAGGTAATTAAAGTGCTTCTCAGAGTATTTGCAAGGGATTGTTTCCTTTATTCAGGGAAGGCATACTGGAACAGCCACGTTTTCAGGCTCCTCCTAAAGACTGCCAATGTGGAGGCTTGTCTGATATCCTTGGGGAGTGAGTTCCAGAGTCTAGGGGCAACCATGGAGAAGGCCCTCTCCCTTGTCCCCACCAATTGCATCTGTGAGGGAGGTGGGAGCGAAAGCAGGGCCTCCCCAGATGAACAAAGAGATTGTGTGGGTTCGTACACAGAAATGCGATCACGCAGGTCCCAGAACGTTCAGGGCTTTGTAGGTCAGAACCTGCACCTTGAATTGGGATTGGAAAATAAACGGCAGCCAATGGAGCTCCTTAAACAGGGGGGTTGACCACTCCCTGTAAGTCACCCCAGTAAGTAACCTGGCTGCCGCCCGCTGGACCAATTGAAATTTCCGAGCTGTCTTCAAGGGCAGCCCCTATCTCTTTTTTACAAATTGAAATGATGTGAAGGGATTCCCAGCCTTTCCAGAAATCTATTGGTAAAAAAGACATTTGATTCACACACACATTTCACCTTGCTTTTCTCTTATCGGGAGACTGTACAGTGTGAGGTGTGGCTGGGGTATATACATATGGAAGTTTAAGTCTTCCTGCATAAACATCCTTGCACTTCATTTGAAAACATTTTTAGGTAGCAGTTCTAAACACATCAATTAAATCATCTGATCCTGTGTAGAGCAAGACTCAACTTGAATGAAAAAAGATATTGCTTGGTTTCACAAGTTATCTTTAAAAATGTATACCTTTTTATGATTGGCAGGAAACTGGATTTTGGAAATCGTGACTGTCTCTTAAATCTAGTGATCTTGTTAGTAAAATTGAGAATATGTTAGCAAAAGATACACATAATAGTGGGGAATTTTAATAGGGTTATGGACATTTATGCGGACACAAAAGCAAAACATATCCCTTCAAGAGATTGTAGTATATTGACATAACAAAACTTGCATTTCTTTAGGCTCATGTTTGCTCCTTGGTAAAAATCCCTTTTCAGTGGCTTCCATGCAGTGAGGCAAATAGACATCAAGTCTCATATAGAATAATAATGAATTGGAAAAATAATTCTCTTTCTGGGATCCTGTGGGATGAAAAACAGAACTCTCCCTATTTAGAATATAAGGTAAAAATTTTTTGAAGATGATTATATGCACTTTAATATATTATTATTTTGTTTATAAAAATCAAGTTCCAGAGGTTTAATAATACAGAAAATATTTAAGGCCCAGTCTTGGCGCAGGTGTTTGCCAATCTACTTAGCTTTTTGATGAGGGAAGTAAAAGCTACTTGCTTTCCCCTACTGCTTACTTTGGGGGCACAATGGGAGAAGCAACAGCCAGGGGCTTGCAAGCGCAGCTGCATCTTCATCTCCTTAGTCATCAGTTGGCCTAAGGTGTGCCTGTATGTGTTCTGGCTGCTCTAGAGCACTTAGGGATAAAAGAACAGTTTTTGCTTCCTCAGCAAGTACCAAGAGAATGATGTGGGAATATCACTTTCTGCAGCATTCAAAAGAGTCTATAATCATGTCATAATCGTGTCTGGCATAAAGTAGCCAAAGTATATGTATTTGTTTGTCAGGTAGTGGGGAGATAAAGTGGGGTATAAATAAATATAAATATCATCATCCACATTGGTCAGCACTAATCTGGAGTATGTTATTCAGTTCTGGGCACCTCTTTTTAAGGATATAGACAAGTTGGAGTGAGTTCAAAGAAGGGCAGCAAAGATGATAAGAAATATGGAAAACAAAACCTATGAGGAAGACTGAAAAAGCTGGACATGTTCAGTTTGGTGAAGAGAAGACTGGGGATGGCATGATTACAGTCTTTAAATACCTCAAAGACTGTCACTAAGAGAGAGTAAGATGGCCTGTTTGCTACTTCTCCAAAGAGTAGGTTTAATGATTTGAAGTTACAGGAGAGCATATTTTGGTTAAACATAAGAAACTTGACAGCAGGCGTAGTTCACCACTGGAACCAATTGCCTAGAGAGATAGTAAGATCTTATTCATTAAATTACTTTGAAAAGAAACTGGACAACTGCCTGTTGGGAGATGTTGTTCATTCGTTCAGTCGTCTCCGACTCTTCGTGACCTCATGGACCAGCCCACGCCAGAGCTCCCTGTTGGCCGTCACCACCCCCAGCTCCTTCAAGGTCAGTCCAGTCACTTCAAGGATGCCATCCATCCATCTTGCCCTTGGTCGGCCCCTCTTCCTTTTGCCTTTCACTTTCCCCAGCATAACTGTCTTCTCTAGGCTTTGCTGTCTCCTCATGATGTGGCCAAAGTACTTCAGCTTTATCTCTAGTATCCTTCCCTCCAGTGAGCAGCCGGGCTTTATTTCCTGGAGGATGGACTGGTTGGATCTTCTCGCAGTCCAAGGCACTCTCAGAACTTTCCTCCAACACCACAGCTCAAAAGCATCGATCTTCCTTCGCTCAGCCTTCCCTAAGGTCCAGCTCTCACATCCGTAGGTTACTACAGGGAATACCATGGCTTTGACTAGGCGGATCTTTGTTGGAAGATTATATTTTTATTAAGTCCGAAGAGCATACCCCTCCCAAGAAGTAACGTCTTCTGATTTCCTGGCCACAGTCTGCATCTGCAGTAATCTTTGCGCCTAGAAATACAAAGTCTGTCACGGCCTCCACGTTTCTCCCTCTATTTTCCAGTTGTCAATCATTCTTGTTGCCATAATCTTGGTTTTTTTTTGTTTAGCTGCAACCCAGCTTTTGCGCTTTCTTCTTTCACCTTGATTAGAAGGCTCCTCAGCTCCTCCTCGCTTTCGGCCATCAGAGTGGTGTCATCTCCATATCTGAGGTTGTTAATGTTTCTTCCAGCAATTAACCCCAGCCTTGCATTCATCAAGCCCCGCACATCGCATGATGTGTTCTGCATACAAGTTAAAAAGGTTGGGTGAGAGTATTGCAGCCTTGCCGTACGCCTTTCCCAATCTTGAACCAGTCTGTTGTTCCGTGGTCAGTTCTTACTGTTGCTACTTGGTCCTTGTACAGATTCCTCAGGAGAGAGACAAGGTGGCTTGGTATGCCCATCCCACCAAGAACTTGCCACAATTTATTATGATCCACACAGTCAAAGGCTTTAGAATAGTCAATGAAGCAGAAGTAGATGTTTTTCTGAAACTCTCTGCCTTTTCTAAACCCAGCTTGAACATCTGGCAACTCTCGCTCCATGTGGTGCTGGAGTCTTCCTTGCAGGATCTTGAGCATTACCTTACTGGCATGAGAAATAAGGGCCACTGTACGGAAGTTTGAGCAGTCTTTCGCATTTCCCTTTTTTGGTATGGGGATATAAGTTTATTTTTTCCAGTCTGATGGCCATTCTTGTGTTTTCCATATTTGCTGGCAAATGGCATGCATCACCTTGACAGAATCATCTTTTAAGATTTTAAACAGTTCAGCTGGGATCCCGTCATCTCCTGCTGCCTTGTTGTTAGCAATGCTTCTTAAGGCCCATTCAACCTCACTCCTCAGGATGTCTGGTTCTAATTCATTCACCACACTCATCAAAACTATCCTCGATATTATTATCCTTCCTATACAGATCTTCTGTATAGTCTCGTCACCTTCTCTTGATCTCTTCAGCTTCTGTTAGGTCCCTGCCATCTTTGTTTCTTATCATACCAATTTTTGCCTGAAATTTACCTCCAATGTTTCTAATTTTCTGGAAGAGGTCTCTTGTCCTTCCTATTCTGTTGTCTTCTTCCACTTCCATGCATTGCTTGTTTAAAAATAGTTCCTTATCTCTTCTGGCTAACCTCTGGAATTGTGCATTTAACTGGGCATATCTCCCCTTATCCCTGTTTCCTTTTGCTTTCCTCCTTTCTTGGGCTACTTCCAGTGTCTCAGCAGACAACCATTTTGCCTTCTTGGTTTTCTTTTTCTTTGGGACGTACTTTGTTGCCGCCTCCTGAACAATGTCTCGGACTTCTGTCCATAGTTCTTCTGGGACTCTGTTTACTAAATCTAGTCCTTAAAATCTGTTCTTCACTTCCACTGTATATTCGCTAGGAATGTTAGTGAGATCATATCTAACTGGTCTGTGTATTTTTCCTGATCTCTTTAGTTTTATTCTAAATTGAGCAATAAGAAGTTCGTGATCTGAGCTACAGTCAGCCCCAGGTCTTGTTTTCACCGACTGGATTGATGTCCGCCACCTTTGGCTGCAAAGGATGTAGTCAATCTGATTTCGGTGTTGACCATCTGGTGAAGTCCATGTATAAAGCCGTCTTTTAGGTTGTTGGAAGAGAGTGTTTGTTATACAGTGAGTTTTCCTGGCAAAATTCTATCAGCCTGCGTCCCGCTTCATTTTGTTCTCCCAGACCATGCTTGCCTGTGATCCCAGTTGTCATTTGACTTCCCACTTTGGCATTCCAGTCTCCTGTAATGAAAATAATGTCTCTTTTTGGTGTATTATCCAGTAGGTCCTGCAGATCCTCATAGAACTGATCTACTTCTGCTTCTTCAGCAGCTGTGGTTGGGGCGTATATTTGGATCACTGTAATGTTGAAAGGCTTTCCTTGCACTCGAATTGAGATCATTCTGTCATTTTTTGGGTTGTATCCAAGCACGCTTTAGCGAATTTCTTATTAATTATGAAGGCTACTCCATTTCTTCGATGTTCCTCTTGTCCGCAGTAGTAGATCTGGTGGTCATCTGATGTGAAGTGGCCCATTCCAGTCCACTTCAGTTCGCTGACCCCCAGAATGTCTATCTTTAGTCTTGACATCTCACCAATAACAACATCCAATTTGCCCTGGCTCATAGATCTTACATTCCAGGTTCCTATGGTGTGTTGGTCTTTAGAGCATCGGATTTGTCGTTCACTTCCAGTACCGTCGGCCACTAGCCTTCCTTTCGGCTTTGAGCTAGCTTGGGCTAGTTGAACTTATCCTCTGCTCCTCCCCGGTAGCATTTTGGCCATCTTCCGACCTGGGAGTCCCATCTTCCAATGGAATACCGACATATCTCTGGTTGTACTGGTCCATTTAGTTTTCTTGGCAAGGATACTGGGGTGGTTTGCCATTGCCTTCCCCAGGGATCACGCTTGGTCTGACCTCTCTGCCACGACCGTCCCGTCTTGGGTGGCCCTTCACGGTTTCGCTCATGACATCATTGAGGTGCTCAAGCTCCAGCGCCGCGACAAGGCGGTGATCCTTTGCTGGAGGTTTGGAGATGCTTTAGCTGGAAATCCTGCATTGAGCAGAAGTTGGACCCACTAAGCCCTTTCAAATCTATGATTCTCTGATTTTAATATTGGGTATTCTAAAATGGACATGAGGCCAGTGGCTCCAGTATTTGGGTAAAACTCACCCACCAATTTAAAATGACAACCTGTACAGGTTTCATTAATGGAATTTTAACCGCTGTGAGTCGCCTAAGGGCTGAGAACAGCGGTATACAAATAAAGTAAATAAATACATTTTTATTGCTTCTACCATAGAAAACTATTCTGTAGAGATGGAATAACTCCACAAAATCATTTAACTTCTTGGAAGAATCCCATGTACACAGCATTGAACTTGTCAGACGATGGGTGGCAGTATATGATCACTCTTCCATTGTTTCTAAATAAGTAAATATTATGAGACATAAGCACATGATTTCCTTTCCCATAAACTACGAGTACACCCAAGCAGCACATAGATGTTTACAACTATTATATACTTTTCAAAGTTTCATGGATTTTTTCTTAGTTCAAGAACAAGTCAGTGAAGCTGCCTGAACACAACTATTTCAAAATGTCCTCTTTTTCAATGTTTTGTAGGACTCAAATGGCACTTTTCATCAAGTTTGGTTTGATGATCCCAGGAGCATTTCTCAGAAAGCAGCCTATGTGAAAGAACATGGTTTAAGGGGTATTGGTATGTGGCATGCAAACTGTCTTGACTACTCCAGAAGCTCTGTGGCACAAGAACAAACAAAAGCAATGTGGGAGGCCTTGAAGCCAAATCAAGTTATAGGAAAGTAGATTTAGAGTTCAGACAGCCATGAATGACTTATTGTCTTATTGGGCAGAGAGTAGAGGTGTATGTTGTCCTTTTTTCACTACTGTGATGTCACTTAAAATGATATACCATATACTACTATTATACTATTATTCTAATTGAGCCTGTTATTTATTTTTCTATAATAAAGCAATCTGTTTGTTATCTTAAAACCTATGGAAGAAAACTAATATGGTAACAGAAATAACAAATAAACATGTCACAAGTACAGTTGTAACTTACCAGTGCACTTAAAGTATGCTTCTAAGAAGTGTGGTGTGGGGTGCTACTCTGTAAGTAAAATGCAATATTAAATTACACCTGTGAAAACCATTCACAATTTCTTATATATAGCTAAAAGCAGTGAAATATATCTCTACAGGAAGAGAATTAAGATTGAATTTATGAATTATTTGTGGTTTCCTTCACTTGATCCAAGCTGCACAATTCAGTACACTAAACTGCTACTAACGATGTTCTTGCACCCATTTCAACATCTGCATTGAAATTTTAGACAATTTTCCAAAAAGCCAAGACCACCTAATTCATTGGTTGCACACAACTCAATAGAAATGTTGCAAAAATCTACAAAACTTTGTAGGAACCATTTCCTTGTGTCCATTCTGGGCATTGTTGTGTGCATTCAAGTCATTTCTAATGTGTGGTGATTCTAAAGTAAGCCTGTGTTAGAGTTTTCTTAGCATGGTTTGTCCAGCGATTTGCCTTTGCCTTCCTCTGACGCTGAGAAGGTATGATTTGTCCACGACCAGTCAGTGGGTCTCTGACTGGTCCCTTCTCTTCAGAGCCATAGTCCAGTGCTCAAACCACTACACACACACTCACAATTCTGTACATGGTTTCTTGTAAAATTGGCATTTTTTGCCATTTGTCAGAATACATTTGTGTTCCTTGAAGGGGATTCTAAGAATTGGTTTCTCTGGAATTTGTCTGGCTTGCTGCCTGTGGACTTCTTTTGTGGTTTCTTGCAACATTTCGATCTGCTCTTCTACAAGCAGAGAATTGAATGGGCATGACCTATGCAGATGGTGGTATCTATGCCATTTTATTCTGGTTCAGATGGTTTTTGGGCATTGAGGGTTAATAAAAACATAATATTCAAAATGATTCGAGTTCTAATAATGTGTAAAGCATGCTTAGCATATCCTAATCTATCTGACATCTCTGTCTCTCAAAAATTGTCGGTTCCCATCCATTCAGTTCAGGCTTTTACCCATAGGAAGTGAGAGAAACTTAACAGCATCTCATAAAATGAAAGTTGATTTTCCCCTGGACATGTAAGAAGCATGCATACAAGTACGTAATAAAAACAATAGATTTTATGGAACTTTAAAAAATAAGCAATCAAAAAGCATTTTAATGCAAACACGTAATCAAAAAGAATTGTTATCATCCACTAGTGATGTGATAAAGAGACAAAGTCTTAGCATGTTGAAAAGCAAGATTATTTTATTATTGAAAACAGCCAATGTATTTGACCCAGGAAATAGGGATTCTAAAAATAATGCCTCCAAGGTTTATGTTTATAACCTATGCCAGCCTACAAGAGAAAGGTTATCTCTCCCATACAAATAATTAAAGATGCAGTAATTGATACACATTAGGAGTTTAATTTGAAGGCACAAATCTTCTACTAAAAATGCAGGTGAACTCTGAATCTTTGATTGCTATCTTGGCAGGGGGTTGGACTGGATGGCCCATGAGGTCGCTCCCAACTCTGTGATTCTATAATTCTATATATGTAAAAACCCAAATCAGGCATTCAAAATCATGATGTAGGATTGGTACTATCCTTTCTTGGTAAGATGATTTAAGGACTTTAAAAAAGAACGTAATATTTCTAACCCAGCAGTATTGTTTTCACAGTTGTATTTGGCTGTCTTTGAGAAGCTCACAAACAGGACCTAAGTACAACAACATACTCAGTTTTATATTCTGTAGCAACTATTCACAAGGACACATATCTGATACAGGACATAATATACATCTACTATTGGTAATCATTTATAGATATAACATTTATTAATTTGTCTAATTTCTCTTAAAGATGCAATACTAAAAATTGAGTTTATAAGGCAAATGTAAATTTCTTCTTGAGAGTATTGAATAATTTTAAATTTTTAAATGGGCAGTTCATACCACAAAAACAGAAAAGAGAGTAGGAATTCAATGTTCTTAATTTATCTTATTCTAGCTCACATCACTTGAGCCGGTCCATTTACACCAGGAAACAAAACAGAATTATTAATATTATTTTCTATTTATGCACAATAATAAGAGGGATACTAGTACCTTTGGCATACTTGTGCATTAATGTCTTTTTTAAAAAGCATAGTCTGAATTTCTAACTATATGCCAAAGCAAAACTGATTTAAATGAGGTTCACAACTATTCGTAAGATTAAAAGATATAAGTATGGCTTTTGAGTTTTATAGATTAGAAATAAGTACAAGGGGAACATTTGCTCCCCATTTATACTGCCTCACTTTCAAGTGTGCTCTTACCAAAAGTAAAGCCAGCTGGAGATTGGGGAAAGATCCAGTGACTCCACTGCCTCCTCCATCACCCAAAAAGAGGCAGAAAGATCTGTACATTCTTCAGAGTTCTTAAAGTGAAACTTTTCCACTCTCCAGTGTTGCTTCTGCACAAACAAATGGAGTTAATTTTTACTGCTGCATATGATGGATTGTGTGAATACTGTGATCAGCACAGCATTACTACAGAGTACATCAGGATTGAATTACTGTTTTGAAACATCCACATTTCAACACATATAACATCTCTGTGATATTTTAACAAATTACAACTGGAAAACAGCCTTTAAAGTAAACGGAATCTCAAATTGGGTTCAGTTGAGATACATGTTTGTCAGACTGGAGTTTCAAAGCCTGAACCTTCTTATGTGCCAGTTCTGCCTTCAGAGCCCGTAAATCAGAAGTTGCCTGCTTTCTCATCTACAAAAAATACAAAGATTGCAAAAAGAATAAAATTACAACCTTGTTTTATTTTATATATAAGATGTAAGCTTAACTTTAATATGTATTAATAATAACAGCCTTCATCTTTCATCTTTTCAACATAACCAGTTATGCCATGAGGCACTTATGTTCTGTTTCTGGCATGTTAACATCATAGGTAAACCCTAATGTACATATTACACAAAATTTCCACTGAAGCCGATGGGAAGTTGGCTGAACGAACATTACAGATCATATCGTAGATATTAAAGCATTTTGTTTCTGGTAATGAAAAAAGTGTATTATTGTCCTCCTCAAATGAAGGGCTTCAAACATGAGGGGCTTGCAAAACCTTGAACAGTGAGGAAACTAGATATTTCGGTGGTACCCTGATATATATAATATAATATAATATAATATAATATAATATAATATAATATAATATAATATAATATAATATAATATAATATTATATTATATTATATTATATTATATTATATTATATATGCTTGTGCTGGCCTCCCAAGCTAAAAAGTACTTGACATAAGATTTGTCTGAACTGATATATGCATACACATATATATGTCTGTTTCCCACCACATTTCTCAGTGACCCCATTTGTTCCATACATAACACACACATCTTGGTGGGAATGCCATAATCAGCCACACATTTCCTCCTGGTCATCTTGCTGTTTAGGGGGGGCTATATTTTCAATCCTTTGCATTATTCTCAGCCACATTGACATTTTTGTTTTATTTGTGCGCGTAATGCATGCACATACATCTATTTTTGTTATGTGGAGTGTACTAATACTGGTATTCTGATATGCAAGTATCTGCACACATGCTCCTGCTTTTTAAAAAAATGATAATTCAAAATTTAAATTCAACCCAGCAAAGAATTAATTCCTACTGGGAATGATCACATCCCAGTAGTACCTCCACCTCCCAACTCCAAAGCAATATGATGCCACCTGGAGGACTGGCCACACATTAAAAATCTGTAAGAAAAATGGCATGATAAAAGGAAAGTTTTTCTTTTAAAAAACTGGATTAACCCAAAAGAACGGCACTGTAAGAGAATCATGAATCAGGATTGCAGTGCCTACAAGGTGAGTACATTTTCACCCATAGTGGTAAACAAAGAAACTGTGCTGATGGGAAGTATATTAAGTGAATACATAATGACCATTCAATAAAACAGTTCCAGGTAAAAGAGTCTGTTCTCCATTGTGGTCTCTGCGGATCACACATAGATGTGAATTAGCAAGCTTTCTACACAAGGTAGATGAGATGGTGCAGACAAATAGGCACTGGGTAACTTAAAATGGTGCTGTGCAACTGGTATAAAAATCTAGAGTCCTGAATGCTTTATGAGAATGTAAGAACTGTTTTATGTCACATGTTGGCATCATGGAACAGAACATTGGCAGAATGATAGCCTATGCCAGGTAGAAAGTAGACATAATCACTGGCAACAAAGTAATGACCACTCTAAAAGAAAACTCCGTAGGACGAATTAGAGTTTTCTTGAAATGTGAGCCCTTGCAATGTGAGTTCTTCTCCAAGGAAATGAGTGAGATATTTCAAATTGTCAGTTGGACAAGAACTACTGAAAGGCTCCTGACAGAAATTCGTGGATTTGTGAAAGTGGATGCCCGAAGAGTACACGATCCCTATCTGATTTTAGAAACTAAGGAGGATTAACACTGGTTAGTACTTGGATGGGAGATTACCAAGAAATACTACGATCCATATGCTGTATTTTAGAGGAAGGAGCTGACAAAACCACCTCTGAGTATTCCTTACCTAAGAAAACCATAGTGACTTGAAGACGTACACAGAAGCACGTATTAAGACCACACAAGAAGTGCTTCATTTCCAACACAAGTAAACAAGGATAAAGACAATGATTCTTCAGGCAAAAAAGCAATGAGAGCTGAAAAGTAAACTGGTAATGATGGAAAACTATACCCTTTGTCATACAATATGGGGACGAGAGGCAATACAACACATCAAAAAGCAAGCAATTATATGGAGTAACGTTATGTTGATGTGCATAATTATTGGCAACAGTTTATTTGTGACAGTAGGATGCAGCTTATCCTTTGGAGTTGAAAAATAAATGGATATTTAATATAGTTAACTAGAATGTCCTCCCCCCGGGAAGAAAATCAAACATCTCTCCCATTAAATCACATTTTGCCAGAAAGAAAATCAGTGGGAAATGTTTTTCCAAATCTTTATTGGATGCATTGGGTATGACCAAGAGGCTCAGTTAGGGATGCGAAAAAGCATGATGTCTATGAAAGGGCAAACATTCATGAACCACCCAAAATGGTGCTGGGTTAGTACACAAGGTATGTAATCTTCATTTAATTGGTACCAACTGCATACGTCTCATATATAGCCAAGCAAAATATTGCGATATCAAACTGTGGCAACATACAGGTCAGCAGCCAAACATGGCATTGTGGCAATTTACAGTACATGACATTTGAGGAAGGCAATCTGCAAGACCTACTTTATTGGGAAAACTATTGTAGCCAGAGTGGAATGTAAATGAGTTCTTATAAAATGATGTTCTAGGTAGAAGCGAAAGCCTGAATTTACAGGAAGAGATAAGAAGGTTTCAACAGGCCACAAATAAGCTATAGGAGGACAAGACTGTAGGTGGTTTCTTTCCTGGGTGGGAAAACTGGTACTTTCTAGAAAGCTGATAGAAAATGAAGGTTTTGGCAGTTATCACTTATAAGTATGGTTTTGAATGTGAATATGAAATAGTCACAAAAAAGTAAACCTAAGTATCTTGCCATATCTATAAGGTGCTCTGATTCCCCTTCGGGGTAGAAATATAGTAAATAAATAAAATAACTTTTGTATTTGAGATTGCTACTTATGACTGTGACACAATTATCACAATTGTAACTTAAACCTCTTTTACCATGCATCGTCTGCATGTCTAATTAGAAGTCTACCCCTGCAGACAAATTTTCTCTGTTTGGCAAGGAGGAGATCAATTTTGCCAGTGACTGAAGTGCAAGTGCATGACACATTCATTAGGCTTGTGGGGTTAGTATATATAAGTAAGTAATTCCTAACAGGATTTTAGCGATGATTTTTAATATATACTTTTAAAATAAGTTGTAAGTTGACTGGATTCCCATTACTGGGGAAAACGTGGAGAGACATTAATATTACCTTGATTTCTATGACAAGCTTCATTTTTGCATTATCTAGCTTTCTCCTCAGCTGGTCAATATCATGCTGCAAGGTTGTGATCTGGATTATTGTATTATTCTACAATAAAAAAATGAAAGATAGATTCAATTCAGAATTATACACATATCATTTAAATAACAGAATTATACACCAATCCACACACAAACAATGAAAATTCTCTATTAACTTCACTGTCTGGGCAGGTTGTTCAGAATGGTCTTACCTTTAGTTCCATCGATACCCTATTCTACTATCTTCAAGTCTTGTAGTTGACAAACCTAACATGCCTTATATTCTTCCCTAAATGGACAGATCAAAGCCAAAAATAGATTTGTCCTTTCATTTCTCCAATGATACTGTTTTTATGGGAGAGTGGCAATAAGGTTGGCCTTCTTAAGATTGGACTACTGTAATGCCCTTTACATAGGCCTACCTTTATCGGTGATCTGGAAACAGACTAGTGCAAAATGCTGCTGCCCGGCTTCTTGCAGGGGTCCCAGCGAGGTGCCATATCACTCCAATCTTGCAGTAACTGCACTGGTTGCTGATTGAGCACCAGATTACCTTCAAAGTGCTGATTCTTATCTTTAAGGCCTTATATGGCCTGGGGCCGGAGTATCTGAGGGACCGCCTCACCCTCTACCAACCCCCGAGATCACTCCGTTCAGACGATCAGAATCTCTTTGAAGTTCCCAATTTTAGGACCTTTCACCTGTCTACTAGGCGTAGAGCATTCATGGTAGTGGCTCCTTACCTGTGGAATGCCTTGCCAGCGGAAACACGAGCTCTCCGAGGCTTACTATCTTTTCGTAGCGCTTGTAAAACTTATATATTTAGGCTGGCATTTGAATCTTGCTGATTGAAATTTTTCTTTGATTTTAAATATAATGTATCGCATATGTATATTGTAAACCGCTCTGAGCCTTCGGGGAGTGGTGGTATATAAAATTGATAAATAAATAAGTCTTCTCTTCAGTTAGGTATATTCCAAATGAGTTTGTTTTTTTTCCAACATGGGTTAACTTCCTCTGATTATTTTAAACCAGGATATATGTTTCTAGAATACACATTTCAATCAGAATGCAGAAATGGAAATATTCCGGTTTAATTATTACATGTGGACAAGGAGATAGCCAAGGGGGGGGGGGGGAGTTCACCCCGCCCCCAGGAAATGTTTCAGATTTTTTTTACTCATGAATTTTAACTGGTTAACCAAATCCACATGCTAAGTCTATGAGAAGCAAAAATTAAACAAGACCCTCCAGAACTGCAAGCACTATCTTAAGCCAATTTTGACAATTTATTCACTTTGTCATTGCTTGCAGCAATAGGTGATATAACGGATGCAACCGAGTTGGCCTACCCATAGCTGGAGGTTTGGGTGTTGTTGCCTCAGGCTGGGACCATTCTGGAGGGGGCCATGTGATCTCTCCCTGTATCTGAGAGGCCCTCCTGGTTCTGCCTTCTCAGGCTCATGGCATAACAAACTAGAAGACATCAGATCTGGTCTGTCCTGGAAACTGCAGTCGTACTCTCTTGGACTCAGAGCAAAATATGGACACACTATTGGAAGTATACATCTTCATTATGTGGCCAACTGATGTTTGGAGTGGGATTTTCACCTCATGCTGTTTCCTATTTATATATTCATAATTATAAATATATATTTATATAGGGTTTTATATTTATATATTCATAGTTAACATTTCACTGTATTTTCACCTCATGCTAGGCTGCATGTTGGGCCCTTCCTGGAAGAGGCTGTTTGCTTTGCTGCTACAGGGGGTGTTTGAGAGGACTTGGCAGGTCCTACTAGTTCAGGCTCATAATCTGTCCCCCTGAAAGGCAGTCACATTCTCTCAGCCATAGAGTAAGATACATATACTCAAATCAAATATAAATCTTTATTTTATTACTTATATTCATTATGGTGAATATACTGGCAGTGTCTTTTAAGGCTGTGCTTTTGATTTATGCCAAGTCTTATCCATTTGGGCGATTGTAATCCCAAAAAACTCCACAAGGAAAACTTACGTTGGAATACATTTTATGATGTTTCCAGGTATGTAAAAACTGTGATAATTTCTGCTTGTTTTAAAAGTTTATACTTTCATTTCTCATAATCTATCAAGTATTTTTTAATAATTTGGTACCAGATTATAGGTATTTTATGTAGGTTTTTATTGATAATATGCATAGATTATTGATCCTGATTTTTAGATATGCCAATGTAAAGTACGTGCGCGCACACATGTGTGTGTATGTCATTTTCAACTCTTAAACGTTTGAAAACATACATAAGCACAATGGGGCAAGAAAGACTGACTAGCCTTGCACTCTTGAATCCACTGACGTTTTATCAATGGAGCCTGATTTCTGTCAAAATGTACTGACACAGTTTTCAAGTGTTTCCAACAGAAGTTGTGGTATTATTTTGTAACTATAAATTACCAATTAACAGTAATTTTCAGTTATTTTAAGACTTGAAACTTTGTAACTAAAATAAAAATTGATTTAATTAAGTCTATATAAAAATATAGAATGGAACATACTATTTAAATTAATTTGTGTTATGGAACTACTCTTCATGATTCGCCTAAAAAAAAAAGGTTTCAATTCGCCCCCTGAATTTTTTTTTCTGGCTGTGGCCCTGCATGTGGCTAATACTACATAATAAAGCAGAGTATTAATTTCATGAGATGCCAAAATCATAAGAATCTTTAACTTGTGGTAGCATCAGAAAGGTTTCCCACATTGTGGCTGCTTGATGAATTTCAAGCAGCGATTGAAGCGGTTTACCTGATGGCCTTCAATCAGGCCGAGTCAAGAATCATGGCTATTTAATATGTGGCTTTCCCATCACAAATGTGCACTTTTTAAAAAGAAGCTCACAGAACCTCTGATGTGAAGAAAATTTATTATTATGTTATATTTATATTTACGTTTGGAAATGACGGAAGGCAATCCAACACAAAACTGCTAACTATGGTAGAAAGTTAAAAAAAACCTCAAGGTTAATTTTTCATAACTGTCATGTATAAAACTGCAGTTTAACAGGAAGATATGTTTACTATATGAGAAAAGCAGGATACACAAAACTGATTCTCACACTAATTAGCTGAATTGCCTCTGTGTCCTTAAGGCATACTTCATATCGGAAGGATTTAATTAGTTTAAAACTTTGTTCTCATGATTGTTCACTTGAGTGGGAAAGAGAATTTAGGCATGCAAAATAATATAAACATGAGTTGTGGTTGTGTGAAGCTAACAGTATGTTATGATAATTCAAATGGGGGCACTAGCTGAGAGTTAAATATATGAATTCTTTTTCCTATCCAAGGCTGTCATTCGTTGTTTGGATCACTATGCTCTGGTCTTTAGGGACCAAGTATCATGTCACTGAATGCTAATTCGAACGTATAGCAAAGCTGTCTTCCATGACAAATACCATAAAATATACAGGCTTTACTGAGTTTAAATTTTGAGAGAAATTGCAACTGGACAAAGAACATTACCTTCGAATTTATGAGGTAGGTTAAATTATTACGTTTCTTTCTAATATCCCTAGCTTCTAGTTGTGTCAATAATTTCTGGTAGTGAAGTTCAAAATCTTCCCGTAGTTTGTTTAAAACGTCTTCCAAGGAAACAGTGACTTTCTTCACTTCAAAATATTTTTTCTTCCAGTAATCACGGGCTGCAAAAGAACACAGGTCAAAATATTTAAGTATACATTTTCATCCTATTCATACATACTCAAAAGTAAGAACCATTATATTCAAAGGATTTTACTCCCAGGTTAATGTTTAGAGAAATGCTGTCTAAAAATCAGTAATAATGTATTGTCAAAGGCTTTCACAGCTGGAATCACTGGGATGTTGTGTGGTTTTCCGGCTGTATGTGTTGAAAATGGCAACCTTCTTCAAGCCTCCACTAGTAATTTGTTTGCATATGATCCAGTTTGCTTACTGTATTTTATATATATGTGTGTGTGTGTGTGTGTGTTTTGGTATGCAGCTTTCCCTTCACTCTATGGTTCTTGAGATTGTGGGAGGGGCTGCAGATCACATGATCAAATCTGAGACTGCTCAGAGCTCAGACTCCATTTTAGAGGACAGGCTCCATTAGACTCTCAGACTGTTAAGATCATAAGAAAGATGTCCTGTTTAACTTTGAAAACATTTTGTAAACCTCAATTATCATTCTGGCTGGATGCAAATTAAAAAAAAAACTAGCTAGGCACTTGGTAAGATCCTAAAAAACTTAGAGCAGACATGGGGCAAATACAATTCATCAGTATTCTGTATTTAGCTTTGTAGCTACTTCTCATACTATGACTCATTTGACCAGGCAGTGAAAAATCTCTTTCTCACTAATATGTATGGAAAAGAAGTATATGCATCTGCCCTTGTTTAGGCAATTATACTGGAGGCCAGTAAGGCCCTAGCTGGAGAAGGCAGGGGGGCTAAGTAACAATCAAGCAAGGTGAGCATTTCAAGGGGCAAAATTCTCATAAAAATGAGGGTGATCTTTGAAGTACACACACACAGGGTAAAGGAGACAGAACCAAAAGCAATATCTCCAAGACATTGTCAGTTAGCTTCTCATGCTTGCACCTTCTACTCACAAGCCTTTTTTGCCACCATCCAAACTATTTTCTGCACCAGTTCTCTTATGAAGAACTATGGTCTGTCAAAAAAAAACCCCCCAACAATGGAGTTGAGTAGGTCTGGATAACCCATGGAGCAAAGCTGTATACTCTAAGTAAGGCAACAAAAGAATGAAGAATTCAAAAACTGTTATACCATTTTGCTAGGAACTAGCCAGCCAAAGGGAGATGATTGGTCCCTTTTCATCGGTAGTACATTACTCTAAAACATACCTTGACATCTCCTGAACTTGTTCAGCTCAAGTAAGCCTTTCACTTTTTTAATCAGTTCCATTCTAGTCTTTTCCAAGTCCTTTCTTTCTGCCTTGGTAAGATGTAAGTGTCTGTTCAGTTCACTTCCTTGGGAAAAGAAATATTTGATATACTTAATTAGAAGTTGGCAGAGAATACAGTCTGCTGTCCACATTCACTGGTGATAAGGACACAGGACCCCTGTAAAAGTGAAAAACCACAAATAAAGAATTTTTTTCACCTGCGGGAATACTTCTCTAGGAATTTCTAGGTCAACTTTCATGGAAACTGACTATAGAATCGCTCTGGAACATCTAGAGATTCTTAGGGAGAAGTTGTCTCTAGAAATCTCTAGGTCCTCCATCATGTCTGGAGGAAGTTGACCATAGAGTTACACTGGAGGACCTAGAGATTCTGAGAGAAACGTTTGAATCACATCTGTGAATAATTAAAATCTGTAAAAGTAAAAAATGTGAAGGGGCAACTGTATAACGAATAGATAAGGCTAATACTGCAAAGCCTTGAAGAAAAAAAGTAACCCAGAAGTGCAGACAGATCTGTAGCCATGCTGCTGGCCAGTTCCTGCAGGATTCAAGACAGTAAAATGAAGTTAAAATGTACTCAAAAAAGAAGTGATGGGAGGAATGACTTCTTGTTTGAAGGGTTTAATCTCTGCATGACATTTTTGGATCCGGTTAAGAATTCACATACCAAATACAAGAAAGGAAAGTTACCTGTGCACTAACCTCCACACTACATCAAAAAGATTTTCTTCCCATACATTGGGTTTGGTTCTAAAACCCTTTGCTTGGGAAGTAAAGTCTTCTCATGCAGACAAGCATGCCATTTTCTACCTCTGTCTCTGTAGGTAATATTTAGAAGAAATGAGTGGGAACTTGAAAAAATGCATTCACATGGTAACCAAACTCATGGGAGTAATGATGTTAGGCCCTGTTTTATAAGAAATGTTCCTGTGTAACCTCAACCAAAATAAATGGAAGTTGTGAAAGAAAAATCCTAAAAGGATTATGTCAGTCCGATATAATAACAACAATCTCAGGTACCACGAACAATACCATTCCCACACCAAAGGAAAGTATCAGGAACTTTGGAACAATCCTGAGGTTAAGTGTAATGTTTTAAGACAAAATACCAGAGGGACCCAAAATGAAGACTGAATACTCCCTGATGATTGGTTATTAAAGGAAAATGACAAAACTGGGGTTAGAGGAATGAAGTAGAGCTTCTAGAAATTCTGAACAAAAGCACTCACACTGTAACATTTTACTTCAAGCCTCATTTATTAACTATACTGGATAAAACAGAAGGCAAAAACCTTACATAAATTGATAAATTAATTTTTATTTTAGTAAAAAACAGACTACCTCCCTTTCATAGAATCATAGAGTTGAGCCAGCCATTCTGTGAGTCCAAAGGTAATAATAATTACTGCTGTAGAAATGAATGTCTCTGCACAATTGCAGGCAATGATAACAGATACATCAGAGGCCCATTTAGAATAGAAATTTCTCTGGAAGCATGTTCATGTAATGTATATACTGTCTATTTGCCTTCACTTAAACCCTGCATCCTCCTTTATAGATGAGAAACAAAAGTCTTGTTGCTAAAATTACAAGCTAGACATTTCCAAGAGTGTTAACAAATCTATCACTTGAATATATTTACCTTCTTTTGGAAATGCTCTGTTTGGAACATGAGTTCTGCTTACAGTTAGAGCCAGAAGAGGTGGACTAGGAGGTGAAAGATATTGGTTTGGATGTGCAAAGTCTCTTGGGTTATTTTCATCAGTCTATGGCCAAAAAAAACAAAAAAACAGTGTTAATGTCCAGCTATTGCTAATATGCAAATATGGGGCCAGGGGAGAGTTTCATATTGTCTCCTGCATATGTCATCAGTTGGGAGACCCCTCCACTCAGCACCAACCACTGCTCTGGGCCAGAGTGAAAAGAGAGGGGCCAGGGGACAGTTCCACCTTGTCTCCTGTGCTATGCTTATAATATAATATAATATAATATAATATAATATAATATAATATAATATAATATAATAAGACCTCTGAAGAAGCTTGCCATAGATGCAGGCGAAACGTCAGGAGAAATGCCTCTAGAACATGGCCATATAGCCCGAAAAAACCCACAAGAACTGAGTGATTCCGGCCATGAAAGCCTTCGACAATATAATATAATATAATATTTATAATATTATAATGTAATACAATATAATATTACTAATAATATGTTATTATAATTATATATTTTATGTTACATGTAATATTACTAATAATATTACACTCTAATGGTATAGTACAATATACTAATATATAATACTGATATTGTACAATGCTTATAATATAAAGTATTGTTTGTATATATATCTTGTAAGCCGCTGAGTCCCCTTTGGGATGAGAAGGACGGCATATAAACGCCATAAATAAATAAATAAACTAGAGAGATGAAGGTGAATCTATCACAGGGTGTTCTTGTTCAGAAGAGATTTGCCATTGCCTTCCTCAGAGGCTGAGAAAGTGATTTGCCGAAGGTCACCCAGTGTGTTATATGGCTGAGTGAGAATTTGAACCCTGGTATCCAGAATCATAGTCCAGCACGTAATCCACTATAATCTACTGGCCCTCAGATTGTGGCATACTACAGGTGGACCATGGACTGTGCCCAGGCATGCTGAACTTCCTCTTTGCTCCAGGGTATCTCCTATTGAACACACATGGTAAAGCAAGGAGGAGGATCTCCAGACATATTTGGACTGAAATTCCCATGAGATCTAACCAACTGCGATGGATGATGGAAATTGCAGTCCAGCAATATTTGCAAGGCCACACATATCTGTCTCTGTAGTAAAATATATACAGTGGGATACCTAGAAGAATCCTCCACCTTGTGCAACTATGGAACAGAACAAACAGTTCCGGATCTATATGCTTGCCTACAGTGTCTTGCCTCATGCATAGAGGAAGAATTGTGTAAAGCTACAGACAATGTGATCGCTGTTGCCTATTTTTGGTCTACAATTATTTAGCTGTTTATGCTCCCTCTATTTTTATCAGTTTTATACTTATGTATGCAATGATTTTTACACTAAATAAATAAATAAGTTGTATGCTTGAAAAATATTTGAGTGACTGAGCAAACACTGGGAAACATATGTCAACCTAGTGAATTATAACAAGAAAAATCTCTCAGTTTAGTTAGTATCATAAAGCACAGCAGAAGTCATAGAAGCAGATATTTAATTTGCCAATAATTTCTATGTGGTTGTGCAGCAGTAGCATTTATAATTAGACGCTAGAGTTTATATTTACAACTTATAAAAATTATTATCAGATTTTTTTCCCTGAATTCATCCTAATGAAGTCAGTGGGAATATTTGGGAAAGTAATACTTTTTAAATCTCAGACTGATTATTTCAAGCTTGTGTGACAATATGCCCAGCTCCACAGATTGTAATCTTGTTCTTGGTTAACTAGAACTAAGACTCAAAAAACTCAGCAGGTTTTTACTTCCAAGTAAACATGCACAGGTATGAGCTGCATACCTTATGGTACTGCGTTTATAAAGAGTCCGTTTACATATGTACAGTATTATTTCAAATAAATCACAAAAAAACTTTTGATGATAAATTTAGCATTGTCCAGGAAGAGATAGAGATGAATGCGTTGTCAAAGGCTTTCATGGCAGGAATTACTAGGTTGCTGTGAGGTTTTTTTTGTTTTTTTTGGCTGTATGGCCATGTTCCAGAAGCATTCTCACCTGATGTTTTGCCCACATCTATGGCAGGCATCGTCAGAGGTTGTGAGGTCAGACCTCTGAGGGTGCCTGCCATAGATGTGGGCAAAATTCAGGAGATACATGGCCATACAGCCTGGAAAAAACTCACAGCAACTCAGATAGAGATTACTTTTTATTTGAACCAAAATCATTTATTATTATTATCATCATCATCATCATCTCAGCAATTTTATGTTGATGTCATATTTTTTTAATCAGAAAGAATAACCCATTTTTCTTGTTGGATCATTGGAAACATACCTGATTATCCTGCACGCTACAAGTGTCAGCAACAGACTTGTTAATTCCAGAGTGCTGGTGACTGAAGATAAAATCAAAGCACAGTGTAACAATTCGTTTAGAAATAAATCACTTTAATTACATTTGCTTAAAAGTCTGGTAGCTCTACTAAATCGTGTGCTGGGGTGGCAGGGTACGATGTCTCAGTTACCAATCTAAGGAATGATTACGCTGGAGGCAGGGCAGGGAGTCTGCTTGCTGACAATGTAGAATGGGAGCAAGCATTCTGAGAAAACTCTAACTTCATATGCGGGAAATAGTGACAAGAGAATGAATTCCCATGTTTAATTATGCTTGCCTGAGAAATAATTAACGCACTGTGCCTTTTCATTTTTCAACATGTTAGCAGTCCTATGCATTTTTAATGAATGGCAAGTAATATTGTCAGCATAATCATTCCATGCTTCGTTACCTCTTCTCACTTTGTAAATATTCCAGGTCTCTCTCTTCCAAGGATTCTGGTATTCCTGAGTCCCCTGTGGTATGTCTTTCTGTTCCTATTGAACTGCCTCCATTTTTGGCATCCAGCATGATTGAAGTTTCTTCTACATCAAACAAAGGTGTAAAATATTATGAGCCCTTTTTTACTTATACCATCTGCTAGCCAAAGACAATGGCTCAATGAAAAATGTGTGCTTCTTGGAAGAATAATTCATTTTTTAAAAAAACCTGGAAGATGTAAGAAATCTTTAAAATATTTAGATACTTTCTGAATTGGCAAATTTTTGAGGACAAAAGTAAGACAGTTTATAAAGACCATACTGACTGCATGCACATATCCATTTTGAATCTTAAAATTTTCAAGAATGCGGTAGGACTGAATGCTGATTGTCTCTTTATGTATACTGACTCATTGCAAGTTCTTTAACCATCGTTTGCTGTGACTCTGCATTATATGACTACTGCAGAACACCAAATCATGGTGTGTAAAACATGCTATCAAACTGTAACTGAAATTTAGAATGAATGACAAATATGTCTGATTTGGATGTCACTGCACATTATGGCTACAGTGAACTTGTATTTAAAGGGGACAGGGGAGAAAAAAAGAGTGCATACTACTCCTGGCACAATTCCAATCTCTCTAGCATTATGAGACTTATGCAAATTGATTCTTTTGTTTTATGGTTTAAGTGGAATGCAATACTGTTTTTTAATTTAATAGGTTTTGTTTACTTTTCCCTTTTATGGGTAGTTTAGTTACTTGTGTAAGGAGCCCTTGGTGGCATAGTAGGTTAAAGTGCTGAGCTGCTGAACTTGCTGACCGAAAGGTCACAGGTTCGAATCTGGGGAGTGAAGTGAGTTCCCACTGTTAGCCCCAGCTTCTGCCAAGCTAGCAGTTCAAAAACATGCAAATATGAATAGATCAATAGGTACCAATCCGGCGGGAAAATAACAGCGCTCCGTGCAGTCATGCCAGCCACATGGCCTTGGAGGTAACTATGGGCAACGCCGGTTCTTCAGCTTAGAAATGGAGATGAGCACCAACCCCCAGAGTCAGAAGCAACTGGACTTAATGTCAAGGGAAAACCTTTACCTTTTTAGTTACTTGTGTTGATTCTAGTTGAACTGGTTATTGGTTTATTGTTTTATTATGATCGTTTTATTTTTATTATTGTTGTGTTATATACACTGTTATAAGATGCTCCAAGTCCCCTCGGGGTCATGGGGTGGGGTGTAAATAAAGTTATTGTTGTTGTTATTATTATTATTATTATTATTACTCTGTAGGTGCTCCACTTCACAAAAATAAGAAAAGAAAGAATATTGGATAAAACATTGTCTCCAAAACATTTTAAAAGGATCAGAATTCCCTCAATGGTAACACTACTACAATTCAAAACAATGAGCATATACACATTCTGAGGATATATCTACTTGAAATAAATTATGGAAGAAAGAAAACAATGAAAACTATGAAGGCAGAGAAAGTTATGAAGGACTGCATATGGTATACCTTTTATCTTTTGTGAGATGTTTTTCTCTTCAGTTAGGTTGTTTTCTTCTTGATTGTGGTTTTGATTTATGTTTGAAGAAGAAACGTGTTCTGTGGATTTCTCTCTCTTGCTGGTAAGATTATGTGTCTCTTGAGCTTGGCTGAGAGATATTCTCTGTTGTATTTTCACTGATCTTGATTTTTTAATAGAACTTTGTCTATCAGGAATTAAATTATTCAGTACACAGGGAGATGTACTGGATTCCCTTTGGCTTTTCTTACAATTGATTTCTCCTGGTGAATACATTTACACAGATATAGATTAGATTAATACAGTTGCATAGTTCAGTACAGTTATATAGTTCAGTACTCTATATTACAATGGATTAAAATGTGATTAATCTTATCATTTCAGATTTAATGTATGACATTAATGTTGGCAATTTTCCTATCTTTTAGGTATAATCCACTTTTTGAGTTTATTTTATAAATAAGAAAATAGTATCATTTTAATTTTAAAATAAAAAATAAATGTATGTAGACAATGTTATCAAAGCCTTAATTAAATACAAAGCCAATATTTTATGTACCACGTCGTAAGTAAAACTAATCAATGATAGATTAAAAAATCTGGTGATTTGGAGAGGTAGATGGAGGTAAAGATTTTGGAGAGTTCCCCATATCTAGTTACTAGGCACATGGTATGAGGATAACTAACAGCAAATATGTAAATAGCCCCAAAAATGGGAATGTAGATGGTTGGAAAAAGTCTGTCACCTAGAAAGAGTAAGGCAGCTAGTTATCAGTTGAAAACAACAACAATATTTTGAAGGAATTATCCCAGTTAAGAGTTTTAGAGAGAAGACAGAGAAAGTCATCTCTGGAAGTATTTGTGGGGCTGCTGGTCTGGTAATTTGATCTAAGACAGTGGATTTGACTGTTTCTTGGAATTGCATAAACCTATGCTCAACCCATATATATTTGTCAATAAACAAAAATATTACAAAAAAACCTCACTTGGGATCAATATACCTAGTAAACTATGTAATTACAGGGGAATGCAGTCTTGAATAAGCACTGCCGTACTTGAACATCTAATTGTTCAGGGAAGTTGGGTGAGAGTAATATCATTCCCCTGTTTTGTGAAATCTGAAAATGGCTGGTGTGAAACCACTGAGGGAATCGCTGTGTGCAGTACAGTAATACTTCAAGTTGCTGAGTTTTGTGTTATCTGTGAGCCCTTTATCAAAGGTGGCAATCCTACATTTCTTCTATTGTCTTAATATCTCAAGTCATTTTTTCCCACTAATACAGTGGCTAAGAAGAAATTCAAGCAATGACTTGAAATACAATAAATGTGGAGTAGTCATGTTGACCATAAACAAACAAAAAAGTAAGCACAATAAAAAAAATGTTTTCTAATGCAGTGGCCCCCTGTTGGCACAGCGGGTTAAACCACTGAACTACTGAACTTGCTGACCAAAAGAACTTGCTGACCAAAAGGAATACCTCAAATCCGGGGAGCGAGGTGAGCTCCCACTGTTAGCCCCAGCTTCTGCCAGCCAAGCAGTTTGATAGCATGCAAATGTGAGTAGATCAATAGGTACAGCTTCTGCGGGAAGGTAACGGTACTCCATGCAGTCAGGCTGGCCACATGACCTAGGAAGTATCTATGGACAATGCCATCTCTTTGGCTTAGAAATGGAGATAAGCATCCCCCCCCCCCCAGAATCGGACATGATGACACTTAATGTCAAGGGGAAACCTTTAACTTTACCTCAATGCAGTGGCCTAGATGCTCACGGATCATGTGTGTGTTCATGGATAGATGTGTGCATAATTTAAAGACAGAATGCAGAGATATTGTAGAATCTCTTGAGACAAACTAAAAGAAAATATTTTTAGCATAAGTTTTTGTGGACTGAGTTTACTTCATTGTATGCAAGTCAAACTTTTTGTTCATACAGTCACTTCCTACATCCCATCCCAAAGCAAAAAATGTCATCAATTCCTCTTACCCCACCCCAACTTTTTACCAATGAAGACGCATGTGAGCTTTGAAACACTGTGTAGATATTCTACAATATTTATATTAGGGACTAGCTGTGCCCTGCCACGCGTTGCTGTGGCCTATAGTAAGAATTTTCGAAGCAGAGGTAGATATCTGGACTATTATGAAAGAGAGGTACCTGTTCTGGAACAGCTGTTCCAGGAGCTCCAGATTTATTTGCTGTGTTTGCATGTTTGTGTGCAATCCCATGCTTGGGATTTTGTAGCAGGGGGTTTCCTGTCATAATTTGCATTTATAGGGTAAGCCACCTGCCAGTTATAGTTAGGTTCCCTGATCCCGCCCCTTTTTGAGTTTTGGAGGGAACAAAGCCATTTTGAGTTAGTTCTCACAGAGAAGCCTTTCGCACAGGACATAGAACGAAGTGGCTCCTGTAGAAAAGCTTCGTCTTTTACAGCTTGGCCGGGGTTATACAGCCCTACGGCTTGGCCAGGAGACATACAGCCACAGCTTGGCTGAGGGACTCCAGCCGGCCATCACAGCAACCTGAACTCCTTCTTTTTCCCTGGAGGTCTACAAAGCTCTGTTGAGGCAAGGGTCACTCGCGGAAGCCAGACGCAGTTGGTACCGGGTGCAGGGGCTCCACGTCAACAGAGGCAAGTACAGACTGCCCAGATTAGAAGCTAGGATTTCCCCATCAGTTAGTTACAGTTAAGAAGACAGTGCCTGTTCCTAGTGGACAAGATTGAATGAGCCTATAGACTGTAAAGAAAACCGTTAAAGTACCTGTTTGTTCCTTAATAAAAGAACTTTGTTGGACTTATTTTAAGCATTCTAAAGACTCTGTTTGGGGGAATCTAAGGGCCTTTATTCTGAGGCAGCCCCGGCGTCCCGTTGGGCACAGAGAATTTATGTCCTGTGTACAGTCTAATGCACAGGCCAGTGTGCGACAGCACAGTACCTATTCCTTCCCCCTTTTTCTTTCCATTCCCCTTTCTTCCTTCTCTATCTCTTTCTTTCATTCCTTCTTTCTCTTTGGTTTCATCCTTCCTTCTCTCTTTCCTTCCTTCCCTCCCCCTTTCTCTACTTCTTCCTTTGTCTCCTTTCTTCCCTCCCTGTTTCCTTCCTTCTTTCACTTTTTATTTCCTTTTCTCCTTCCTTCTTTCTTTACTTCTTTCCTGCATTTCTCTCCATTTTCCTTTCCTTTCTACTTTCTCTTCTTCCTTCCTCGGGTACCTCTTGCTTTCCTTCCATCTCTCCTTCCTTCCCTCTTTCCTTCTTTCCCTCCCTCCTTCTCTCTTTCCTTCCTTCCCCCCCTTTTTCCTTCCCTCCTTTCTTCTCTCCTTCCTTCCTGTCTGTTCTCCCCCAATACCATGGTAGAGTCCCTTCTAACTCTATTCTATGAGTCTATTAAATAGAGAGAATTGCAAAGAAGTGTCCAGCTATTTTTGTGTAGCAGGATACAGAGAAGCAGACATTCCCCAGAGACATCCCAGTAATTTTCTACCATAAAACTGCTTAGAAAACTCACCATTTCTTCTGTGTGAAATATATTTTTCTTTAACCCTTTCATCCTTCCTTTGCTCAGAGTTCTGTTGTATATGGATACCTGGAACATCTGTTTTTTCAGTCTCATTCCAGTCTAAAATATTATCATATGTCTGATCCTGGTTAAGATGATTTTTTAAAGAACTATTCCAAACTGGTGGAGGAGTCTGTCCACCTTCAGGAGTTGGAGCAGCTAAGGTATCTGGTCCATGATACGATGTATATGAGAGGACATAGTCCGCATTATTGTGATGTTTTTCTGGGGTTGATGATGAAGACAAATAAATACTTTCTACCCCTGGTAACAAATACAGTTCCGGATGAAAGGCCTGAAACATACAGCATATTAATTTGAAGAGTAGGAGGTTGAAAAAAACAATAATGTTTTAAGATATAAATTATTGCAAATAAATGCTTACATATGGAGGGGCAAATGATTTGAGCTTCAATTCTGTCTCTTGCTTTGCTCTCACCTAGCAATATAATATCAAAAATGACACTGTTAAAATATCACCCAGCCTGTATATTTTGTTACTTTATTCACATAAATAATAAACATTATTTCAAAAATGTAACCCAGCCTTTGGTAAGAACTGGGGGGGGGGGGGACACAAACTATAATCCTGTGGAAGGCTTCTAGATGGTTATGACATTTTTATTTAGAAATGCTATCTAACTATTTACCCATCACATTAAAAAAAGGTTTTTGCGGTTATTTTAGTTACATACACATACATGAACACAGTGATAGCTTTTGGAATTGTAGCAACCAGTAAACAATTACCTTTTATTTTTGCTGACTCCCTTTGAACTTGAAATTTCAAATGGGAATGTATGAAATTAATCATTCTACATTTGAATATTGTAAGAAAAAAAAAACAACAACTTACCACTGCTAGTTTCTTTCCTATACATTTTAGAAAGATAAATTTATCCGCAACTGCATCTTCACCTAGGTACTCTCCAATCTGTTCTCTCAATGTTCTCAATGTCATATGAGGTGACACCCTGCAACACCAGATTACATTATTGCATTTATATAATTGGGATATATTTGATTTTGGAGGTATGTCTGCTTACAGATGAGAGATTGTCAAATGGGGTGTTGATAAGCCCTTATAGCTTGGGCTGAATAAACTATTCATAGGTTTCAGTCACAATAACTTATCACTGAATACTATTCATTCTTCATGAAAATCTACAAATAGAAATATAAAATGGTGTTTCCTGCTAGGCTTCTCCTTCACGCCCATTGCCAAATGCTCTTAGAAATAGATTTTAGGGGTTGGCATGGAATATGATTAACTTTGAAACTGAAGATACAGGTCTGGCATTTTTCATTTTTTCATTTTTATATATTTCAAAACATATATTTGTAAACAAAAGTAACTGATCAAGTAATTGCAATTTTAAAAGCACAGTCGGCTCTCAACATTTGTTGGTTTCACAGTCACAGATTTGATTATTCACAAACTTGTACTGCCACACCACTTCCCAAAGTTGGAATGGCCATGTGAACATTCAAGAAGTGGGGAGAGGCAAGGTATTACCGCTCGCGATGCTCCCAGCTCTTGAGGATAGGCTTGTCAGGTTAATGTTCACACAACAGCCCTGTCTTCAGGAGGTGAGAGGCGGGTGAGTCGTAATTCCCAGCACTGTGCCTAACTCCAAAGATGGGGCTGCCATGCAAACATCTACACAGCAGCAATATCCTCAGAAGGTAAGTAGAGGATTGTTTGGAAGGAGGATGTGGTATAGATGGCAATGACTCCCCCTCCCTTCCTATTCACCCCTTGAGGACTAGGCTGCCCTATGAATGTTCACAGGACAGCCCAATCTTTGGGACCTCAGTGTGCCACGTGTGTCTGTTTTGCCCAGAGCTCCCTTCTTTTGCTTGGGGAAAGCAGACACATGTGGCGTGTGGGAAGAGAAGCAAGCTCTGCATAGCACTTCACCTGTCCCATGAAACTCTGTTCCTCCTCCTCTTTTTGTGTGCCATATGTGTCTTTTGCCTGGGCAAAGGAAGGGCGATATTAGACAAAACAGACACATGGCCCATAAGAAAGGATGAGGAGCTAGGATCCAAAGGGTTAGTGAAGTTGCAGCATCATGCAGGATCCACAGAGTAAGTGAAGTTGCAGCATCATGCAGGATCCACAGAGTAAGTGAAGTTGCAGCATCATGCAGGAAACATGTCACATATGCCTGTTTTCTCTAGTTACTAATATCTCCCCCGTCTGTGCCCATGTGAAATAGACACCCACAATATGCAAGAAATGGGAAAGAAGCCAGGATCTGAAGGGTAAATGAAATGAAATGTATGGGGCCTGCTTCTTTCCTCTTTCCCTGGGACCATGGTAGGTAACTCTGGATGGGTACTCAATAAGTAGCACTCAATTCCTCCCCTGATCTGCAGTTTTTGCACTTTTCGGTGGGAAAGGGCTGTGCCCCTAACCTCCACAAAAGCAGAGGACTGACTGTACATAAACTTACTAGCCTACATGTGATGCCAGTGGTACCTATTCCCAGTTAAGTGCACTTACAACAGTAGCCCTAGCATCCTTACATGGGACAATTTATATTTTCCTCAAAAACTACATACGTCATTTAATACTTGAACAATGTTCAGTAGATGGAAATTTTCTAGCATAAATCCCATTATACATTATAAAAATAGAAGATAAAATGTGCATAGACTGAAAACCTGTTTATTCATATGTCTTATTCAGTTAAGGCTGTATTACCATTTTAGATGAAACTGCAAATTTTATGTTTAAGCAGCACTATTGCTAGCAAGACTGGTGCTCTAAGCAGATTCTCAAGTCATTAAGTCAAGGATTTTCTTCATTATAAAATTGCATTGTATTACAATTAAGGACATGAAGCATGATTGATAATAGGATCTTAATAGATTCTGTGATCTACAGACAAGCAACCACTACAATTGCAATGGTTCTTATAACATGTAGATACAAGCTTCTGAATTTAAAAAGACTATAAATCTGATTGAAGTTAAAAAAATATGGTTGCCTAATGGATAGCTGTCAATAGAACAATGGAAGTCAAGAGCCAGATATCTGATATCTTGTAGTATTCTCTACTAAACAAGGTTCTTCCCCCCAAAATGCATTCTATATTGAAGAACAACATAAAGCCAATCTGCGTCCACGCATGCAAAAGATGCTTAGACATTTGGTTCCAAGTTCCTTTATATTTAACCGTATTTCCAATGCTGAATTAAGACACTGCAAGCATAATATTCCCTCTTCATGTTGGGAACACCTGCATCTACTGCAAGTACAGTAATTGGTCCAGAAGATGACTGAGAACTTTATTCAGTTCCGTTTCTATGAGAATCCACCAAAGTTTGCAAACTTCCTCATAAACAAGATTTCTTTTCTTTTATGAAACAATATAGGAGAAAACAAAACTGACAAATGCTTCCATTTTTCATCTTCACCACAGACTGCAATTTATTTAATAGTTGTTCCTCACTCCTCTCCTAAACCTGGCAATTGTAGGTCTTTGTGAGGACCAGTATTTTCTAATAAAACGATTAAACAACAAATCACACAAATCATTCAACAAAGTCTATTTCCCAAAACTCTTTGCAGGGTGATCCTAACAACTAAACTAATATGAAATAATATAAGTTTCTTATGTCCAAGGAAACCGATCAACCTTGTGGTCACAAACTATACCTAAATAGGAGTAGGTCTCTTCCACCCCCTAGATTACTCTCTAAATTGAGTAAACTGTGAAGGAAGATACACAAATGGCACCTTGTTCCCTTGTAATTTTTCATTCCAATTCTAGTTATTTAAAACACCCAGTAATACTTATTTTTGCAAAGTGTGTAGATATGTATGTTTAATTATGATCTCCCAAATGACAACAAGATTCAGATGTGAACTAATTATCTTTTTGGTATCCTTTGTAGGCAATTAATTGATTTTCTTTTACTAAGAGGGCCCAAGGGTCCACTGAAAAAATGGGGTGGGCATAAATCTTGTGGGCTTCATTTTTTCCACCTCTGCCATAATAAAATAAGCTAAACTGTATACAAATAAATTCAATAGATTTGGGTAACTACTAAATCATTATACATGAAAAGAATATAGGCAAAAAACACAAATGGCAAGCAGTGTTATAATTCTCGAGGAAGGAGGAAGCTAGAGCAAAACTGGGACATTTTAAAAGCAATTGAAAAATAAGATGGCAGAAGATTAATAGGGGCTGTCCCTGGCAAACTAGAACAGCTGGAGACTATTGTATGAATTACTTAAACCCCTTGTCATTAGTATTTTAGCCTTTAGAAAGCTGTACAAATTCAAGTAAGTGCTTAAGTAAATCTTTGAAAGTGCTATGAATTATGAATTTTTAAGGCAAGGCTGCTATTCCTTTTTCCACCAGTGAAACTCACCTTATAAAACCAGCTGAAAAGAATTTGTTGATAACATCTACAGGAACTGTATTCAACTTGAAATCCCACACTTCCTCCGGAACATAAAAAACATGAAGTTCTATGAACTAAATAGATTAAAATAAAATTAACTTAAAATCTAATATGCAATTAGCGTTTTAATATATTACATGAATTGATATTGCTATCCATTTTACATTTTTATTTTTATTTAATCATTAATATCCCACTTTTCAAAATGTGAATAAGACTGCCATCAAGGGTTGTCTCAAGGTGAGTTTTTGAGCCTTGATAAAAAAAAAAAAAGCCTTGATAAAGGAGCATTTCTGGCAATGCATGTCAATTAATACCCAGTGGATATTAGTATGGGTGTGGGACTCCTACAGCCATCCAAATGCTGTTGAACTGCAATTTTCAGCATCCCTCACCACTGAATATGTGGCTAAGGTTTTCTGGATTGGTTCTTCAATAACCACTGAAGGATCAAATGCTTCCTACTACTGCTGCCTTAAAATACTTTGAATGCGATTGTCCTGCTTCTTGGCAGGGGGTTGGACTAGATGGCCCACAAGGTCTCTTCCAACTCCATGATTCTATGATTCTACTGCACAGGAAATTCTACCCTCCCCAAAGATAAGTATAAAACATAATATAGCATAGTTCTCTTTGGGAATAGAAAAAAATGGAAGCAGAACTTCAGTTATTAGTCAGAGATTAGAAGGAAGAACTTTATTGAGGGCCTGAAAAGGAGGTGACTTTTGTAAGGGGCTGCCTTTCTGTGGATAGCTGATTTATGCCTGTCTAACTATCATTTAAATTAATGGAAATTAAGATAGGAAACACCCACCAAAATCTAAACGTGCAATGATATAGCTATGTGAAATAGAACCAGAATTGCTGAAAGTTTCTGTAACATAATAATGTATTGCTCAATGACATACAGACATGGTTGTTTGCCAAAATTATTATTGTTAGATTTCAGCAGAGTTTTATATTAGGGAACACCACATAAGTATTGCAGCACTGATTATAATGAATGACTTTAATTGGTATTAATGTTAAAACATTTCTCTGAATTACATAGGTGTATTGTTAGCTGATGAGGAACAATTTTATCAGGAAATCTATAAATACACAGCATTCAAATATAAAATAAAGCAGGAACTGCATTCCATTTAAAGACTGCACGCTGTGTTGAAATGACAAATACAATTAAAATGAGGAAATAGACAGTGCCATAGGATGCAGCATCTGTATGCCCCAGACTTCTAATTATCTTCCTGTTATGTGGAGTACAGTTAAGTTTCAAAATACACATTCGTTGTATGATTATTTTGTCCCAATGTGAGAAAAAAAGAGTGAAATTAGTATGAGACCACTGTGGTTTAGTGGTTTGAGTGTTGACTGAAGACTCTGAGCAACTGAGCTTTGAATCCTTGCTCAGTCATGGAAATTCACTATATGACTTTGGCGAAGTCATATTCTCTCAGCCATAGAGAAAGTCAATAGCAAACTTTCACTGAATAAATCCTGGCAAGAAAACTCAAGATAGGGTTGCCAGAACTCAGAGTCAACTTAAAGGCACGCAATAACACCAATTAAAGATTTCTGGGCAGAATTGCTCTAAGGAGGAAAAACTAGAAGAGGTAACCAAGGTGGAACTACAGGAGAATAATGAAAGGAGAGAAAATGAAGTTGGGCAAAAAGAATGCAGAGAAACCAGAAATTTGACTCAGATTTCTCTCACGTACAATATGATAAAAATGATAAAAAATGCCAGTCTAATAAAACATTAAAATACATAATTTGTCCTATATTCATATACATGCACCAGAAATAAATTAATATCTCCAGTATGACAGATCTTTGATGACAGGAAGCTCCTCAGCAAATGGCAACAATGAAAATCTATTGATGGCTGAAGAAAAAATATAGTAGGTGCCTGATAGCCAGCACCAATCCAAGATATTTTGGTGGATAAGGCAGAGTCCAAATGCGATCTCTTCGCTGTTACAATCAATATTTTTACCCAGATATTGCACCATTTAGACATGATTTCCTGCTCTCGATATTTCCCCATTCCTTGGATCTTAAAGTCACTTGAAACAAGTTGATTTATTCTTCTGATAGAAAAGAATATATAGAACAAGATTTCAATAGTGGGCCTACACATCAGAAATGGATTTCAGCTTTCTTAGATCCAGGCACTACAATACTTTAAAAGGGAAAAAAAATCCTTATGTTTCAGTTCCTATAATCTGTGAAAATGTGGTAGTGTATACTCCAGGAAGCTGATAGCAAATGCACTGGCACACCCTTCCATATTTTGCAGACGAAAACAGATATGTATGGCCAGACATCAAAATGTTGTCAAGATGGCAAATGTTATTCATGTGCAAGCTAGGAAAGATTGCAGCAATTTGATTTTGCCTAATTCTATCAGGAAGGGCAAATTTCTACCCTCTCCATTCCTCCCTCTTTCTCTTGCTAAGTTGAGTGCAAACTGCAACTAAAACAGAGGAGAAAGGGGGGAAATGGGGAGGATTACTGAAAAATTAAGACGTTTTAAAAACTGATGAAAAAGTGGAATATACAGAAGATTAATCAGGAATGTTCTTGCCAGATCAGGACAGATTGATGGCATACTTTGAGCGGTTGTATTTCGAGCCAGCTAAAATGTTATTGTTACAATAAATTTAAAATTAAAGGCTTAAAATGTACTATATGTGTGTCCCACCATGAAATAAAATCACCTACACTGAAAGAGTGTACCTTCAATCTTCCTGGTATGATCACCTCCCTCAACAATCGGTCTGTTTGACCTATCCTTGTGATAGGTCCTTGCTGAATATATCCTTGTTTATCACAATGCTACCACTGAAACCTCCTTGGGAAATCTCTGTAGAAGGGGAAGGACATGAGGAGAAAAACTCTTGGCTCCATCAATGTAACGATCCAACATTTCCCTTCAAATAAAGTTATATTACCATAGAATCTACCTGTTACCTTCATGGCTGCATTGAATAATCCAGAAATTGGGGGAAAAGGCCATAATTATGAAAACAGAGTAAATAAGAAGAGTAGGGCTTTGTCATCCTGAACAAAGAGCTCCTTCCTCCATTATGCCCCAAAGCAATCTAATGTAAAGGAGAGTAGTAAGGCAGCTGATCCACTTCCCTGGTAGACTGCATTTCAGCTCTTTGTCATAAAACCCTGGAAGTACCCAGGTCCATAGGCTGCAGTAATCATACAAACTGAACTGTTCCTGACTGAACTACAAACTGAAATACAGTATAGTAGTGCATCCTTGTCTCTCAAGTTAAAATTACGATGGTAAGGGAACCTGTGAGATTTCATTTCCCACTATTGTTATTCCAACCAGAGTTCTAAAATATCCACAATATTAATGCTGCCTATATGTGACTAAACAGCACAAAAATCTTTGATTATTATCTAAAACAAGACTACAGAACTCCCTCTGTAGATTATTTATGGTATTTTGTATATACAAAATTTGTATATACAAAATTTGTATTATTAAGCTATACCAGGAAAAAAACCAAGATAAATTAAATTGAGAATCTGCTCCCCACCCCCACCTCTGTATATATTCTCTCAAAACCATTATTTCTCACCTCTGCTGTGTGGGGTCTGATCTGACCAGATGGCATATTTCTCAATTTCTTTCCATGCACATGCAGACTTCTGGACAGGATTCCTACCCTTTCAGTTACATCTTTTATAAGGATTATCTAGTATAATAAGAAAAATCCTGTAGATTTCTTAGACACAAAATTCTATATTTCATGGAAGGTTCCATTTCTTTGAAGTGTTGGCTTTAGAACAGAGAAAAGTTCAGGGGAGCCAAGAACTTTGTTTCTAGTGAACCTGAAAAGAAACAAAACAGATCCAAAAGTTGGCTAACAGAGTTGATCCAACCTTTGATGTGAACACTCCCCCAGTACAAATAAATATCACTATAGTAGCAGTTAATTGCACAATCAGAGCCAGGTAACTGAGATTTACTGTACTTTTGTAATGTAAGATTTGCTTTTTTTGTGCTTACATGAAGATAAAAGCAATCTAATGTTTATTGCAGTTTAAGCAATAAAAACATAATTGGGTGTAAATTTGAATAACCTTGAATATGAGGAACCAATCCCTGAATTTGCTTGTTTACTCTCTCCTCTACAACCACAATGCTTGTAATAATATAGAGACCAATACAGGTACACTATTTCTATGGCATTAGCTCAAGTGGAAGGTGTATATATTATACAGTATATGGGAGCAGGCAGGAAGGCATAACATGTAATCTTAGACAAAGGGTGTGGGAAAAATATCTGTGGATAAAGGTTTAGGCAGTTCAATGAATTTAATTTTGTTTGTGCGTATGTGTGATGGGGTACTGGGTTCCAGATGGTCTATCGCATAAATGACCGTTGTCACCTGATTGATTTAATATGAACAATGCTTATGTTCTTATCTACATCATAGGTGATCCCTTGTGGCTGCGTATGATTGCCTTCCAAGTGTAGAGTCTTGGCAGTGGGTCCATAGGTGACTGTAGAGACTTAGTCTTGACCCACATGCTCTTCCACAGTGAGGACATCAATTTCCAGATGGAAGGTGGTCCTGACAAGGGTTAGCTCAACACACCTTCCTCGTGACATGGTTCTCCCTTTCACCCTCCATTTGTGCCTCTTCAAATACAATAGCACTGTTGGTAACAGCTGAACTCCAATTACAACACTCAAGGGCCAGTGCTTCCAAGTTCTCAGTGTCTATGCCATAGTTTTTAAGGTTAGCTTTAAGTCCACCACTTCGGCTGGTCTAAATAATAATAATCTTTAAATATTTTTTTCCTGTCCACCAGCATTCTGTTTTCAGTTCTTGAGTTGAGAGTATAATAACTGTTTTGGGAGACAGTGATCAGGCATTTGGACAATATGGCCAATCCAGCAAAGTTTATGATGGAGGATCATCACTTCAATGCTGATGGGTCTTTGCTTCCTCCAGGATGCTGACATTTGCCTGCCTGTCTTAAGAGATTTGTAGGATTTTTCAGAGGCAACACTGATGGACGTCTTTAGACAGTTCACATTTCACAGACATATTACAGAGTTGGGAGGACAATAGCTTTATAAACAAGTATCCAACTACTTCATAACACTAGAGAACACTGCAGAATTCTGGAGTTTGTAGTTTAATGAGATTGTTAAAGGCTCCTCCCTAAACTACAAACCCTAGAATTCTGCAGGAGGCAGAAACCGGATTTAAAGTGGATTCATTCTCTAGTGTGATGAGGTTGTTAGTATCCCTGCGAATGTTCCAATGCTCAAACACTCTCTGCTTCATTAAAAAAATGTTGCACTTGTAGAGCTCAGACGCTGTTGTATTTCAGTGCCGATATTGACTTTTGTGGAGAGGTGGCTGCCAAGGTAGCGAAAATGGTCATTATTTTCTAATGTTACACCATTAAACTGAATTTCTGGCATTACAGAGAGATGAGTTGGTGCCTGCTAGCAGAGCACTTTGATTTTCTCGACGTTCAGTGAGAGATCAAGCTTTTTGTATGCTTCGGCTAAGATGTTTGAAATGCTTTGTAGGTCTTCCTCTAAATGGGTACAGAATACATTAAGGTATAGGTTTTCCCTTGACATTAAGACCAATCGTATCTGACTCTGGGGGTTGGAGCTCATCTCTATTTGTAAGCCAAAGAGCCGGTGTTGTCCATAGATACCCCCAAGGTCATGTGGCCGGCATGACTGTATGGAGCGTTGTTACCTTCCCGCCGGAGCGGTACCTAGTGATCTACTCACATTTGCATATTTTCAAACTGCTAGGTTGATAGAAGCTGGGCTAACAGCAAGAGCTCACCCCATTCTCCGAATTCGAACCTGCAACCTTTGGATAAGCAAGTTCAGCAGCTCAGTTTAACCCATTGCACAACCAGGGACTCCACAGAATACATTATCAGCTTATTTTATACTTAGGAAAGGACTATGTATGCTACATTGATCGCAAACTCACAAAATGAATCATTTACATGGTGCCCAGCACATGACAATGTGATATGTAATTCTTGCCCCGGGGGCTTCTGGGAACTGTAGTAGGCTGTTAGGAATTGTGGGAGTTGAAGTCCAAAACACCTGGAGGGCCGAAATTTGCCTATGCCTGGTCTACTGTATATTCAAAAAAAAAATGAAGAAAAGCTGGCTATCTATATAAATAAAAATGTAATGTTCATTTGTGGGATTAACATAACTCAAAAACCACTGGGGAAATTAACACCAAATTTGGACACAAGACACCCATCAGGCCAACGAGTGCCCATCACTCATAAAAACACTGAAAAACACAGTGGAAGGGACTTAAAAAGCCAAAATTTAAAAATGCATTACAACGCATGCACAAAACCACATATACACAAATATATACACAAACAAAACACATATACAGACTGGGCCACAGCAACACGTGGCAGGGGATGGCTAGTTTCATATATATTTGTTACTTCCTTCACCAAATGCAAGGCAGCCTCAAAATTGGCCTGGAAAAAACAAACCTTGAAGTCCTCAAAAAACCTACCAAAAGAAAGGAAGGCAGAAGAGGACGAAAACAAAGTAGGAAAAGGAAGAGGCACACTAGCAGCGTGAGGTGGAGTGAAGGGGATGGGGGATCACTGCTGAAGGATTCTCCATGGAGTTGCCATAGAGTTGCCCTTCCTAGAGGCCCAAAGGCTGAACCACAAACTTCTCGGCCAAGGAGGGCGCGCGAGAACTTTGAAGGGAAAGGTCTCAAACGGATCCCTCCGCTCCCGGCGCATGCGCGGAGGCTGCTTGGTGCCCGCCGCCTTCCCGCAAGCCCCGCCCCTCCTGGAGCTCGCTGAATTTGGCGTGGAATTTCGAGAAACAGAAAAGAGAGAAGAGACCCAGCCACAGTTGCAGACCAACACTTCCGGGGTTTTTTAGGAACTGCCCTTTGGGAAACCAGGAACTATTATTGAATAGGTTTCCAGTTAAAACTTCCATGTTTTTTATGTAACAAAATTTGAAACATTCTCTTTTCCTGGTTTGAAAGTGTTCTTTCCTGTTTAATTGTGCGGTATTTACTTTGAAAGTTGTTCTACTCCAGAAGCCTAGTTTTTGTGGCTGCCACAAATTATATTGAATTGGTTGAGACTGAAGTGGTAAACAGAACTTTCAATCTAAACTGTTTCGATCTTATTCTATTATTTCAAATTATTATTCCTGCCTGGGAGAAAACCCATCTCCCTATCCTTCCCCTTGTTGACTTTTTGTTATATATGTGATTTAACACTTGGAAATACAGTGTGTGTGTGTGTGTGTGTGCTTAACAATATGACCTTAACTGTGCTGATATGGGTGCCATATCAGCACAATATTTTTATTTAGATGTATGTTTTTCAGAGCCTCACACAATGACATCAACTTTCTACTGCATTATATTTTATATACCAAATAATAGTTGCAAGGAAACACTACTTACTCTAAAATAAATGTGTTTAGGATTTCAGCTCAATTATATAATGGATCTACCTTATAAGAGGGGGGCATATTTTAAAATAATGCCATCTTTTCAACCCCTTCAAATAGAAACAAAAAATAATAGCGCTTGTTCTTACTTTTTTTTTTTTTTTGCTTTGCCATTTGTACTGCCCATATTAGTAGATTTGTGTGGTTTTAATAGCTGGTTTTAATGTACGAGGAGCAGCCTCCAGTGGCTCAATGAGTAACCCCTTGTGCCAGCAAGACTGAAGACCAACAGGTCGGAGGTTCGAATCCGAGGAGAGCGCAGATGAGCTCCCTTTGTCAGAGAGAAGCCACCCACAAGGATGGTGAAAACATCAAAACATCCGGGTGTCCCCTGGGCAACGTCCTTGCAGACAGCCAATTCTCTCACACCAGAAGTGACTTGCAGTTTCTCAAGTCGCTCCTGACACAAAAAAATAAATTCATTAAAATTTCCCTGACCTATTTATCACAGGATGCTGAAACTGCATATGTGTAATGATATAATGTAATGTTTTAATAGGTTATGTTTACATTTTTAATGATTTTAATGTGTGTGTTTATTGTATTTGTTTGTTGTGTATATGGCATTGAATATTGCCAACTTGGAAGCCGCTCTGAGTCCCCTTTGGGGTGAGAGAGAGCAGGGTAAAAGTATAGTAAATAAAATAAAATAATAATAAATAGATGAGATACAGAAAAAACTATAGCAAAACATGCTGCAGGATGTTCTGCAAAAACAAACCATCTCCACTGGCCTTTACAGGCCAATGGATATTCCACCACAGACATCAGAAGAGCTGCAAGACCAAGAACAAGCCATGAGAGTAAAGAAAAAGATCTGCCCAGTGAAAAAGTGTTCTGACCATACATCAAGGGAACCACTGACCACATAGGTAAGCTGATGAGGAAACCCAACCTGTCATGACAACTCCTCTGATGAAGAAATCCAACCTACCAACGATCTACAGACCCATGAAGAAAATCAACAAATCCAATGATCACCAAAGGACAAGAGGGATCCTCTAACCCGGTGGTTCTCGACCTTCCTAATCCCGCGCCCCCTTAATCCAGTTCCTCATGCTGTGGTGACCACCAACTATAAAATTATTAATTTTTTTACTGGTATGAATCATAATGTAAATCTCTTATATTGTATTTTCATTCACTGGACCAAATTTGGCACAAATGCCCAATACGCCCAAATTTAAATACTGGTGTTGTGGGGATTGATTTTGTCATTTGGAGTTGTAGTTGCTGGGATTTATAGTTCACCTATCACAGAGCATTCTGAACACCAACAATGGAACTGAACCAAACTTGGCACACAGAACTCCCAACAGAAATCACTGGAAGGGTTTGGTGGGCATTGACCTTGAGTTTTGGAGTTGTAGGTCACCTACATCCAGAGAGCACTTTAGACTCAAACAGTGATGGATCTGGGCCAAACTTGGCATGAATACTCAACATGCCCAAATGTGAACACTGGTGGAGTTTGGGGAAAATAGACCTTGACATTTGGGAGTTGTAGTTGCTGGGATTTCTAGTTCACCTACAATCACAGCAGGAGGAGGGTTTTGGTGGAGCATTCACTGTTTCCAAAATGGAAGAGAAGGACAGGTGTAGAGTTTTATATTTTATTTCCACTAATAATAATCATCATTTTATTTCTTACCCGCCTCTCCTCATGGCTCGAGGCAGGTTACAAAACAATTAAAATACATAAACAAAGCAACAACACTACAACTCTAAAACATATCTCCATAAAAGTTTCATACCAAAATGCATCTCTATGAAATATTTATGCGGCTGGACTCAAAGCGGTTTACAGCATATCAACACACAATATCAACAATAAAACATAAAATGCACAAGTTAAAACATACTAAAAACACATATAACACATGGAACACCCTCCCAAAAGATCTTAGACAGGCCCCTACATTGGCAGTCTTTAGAAAGAACTTGAAGACCTGGCTGTTCCGATGTGCCTTTCCAGAATAGGAACCTCCAATAACAAGTCCCAGAAGCACTTTATTAGAATTAAGATTGCTGGCACACTGCACTTACCCTATAATCCTTACACCTGTCACATCAGCACTTTTAATCTGTACCCATTACTCTGGCCCGGCCCAGTTTTATTGTGTCTTGGTGTATTGTTTTATTGCTTGTTGTTTTAATATTGCTTTAACTGTTTTTGATTTGCTTTAGGTTGTGTATTGTTATGTTGTGTTTTGAGGCCTTGGCCTTTGTAAGCCGCATCGAGTCCTTCGGGAGATGCTAGCGGGGTACAAATAAGTTTAATAATAATAATAATCTCACCTTTCATGTTGTTCATTCGTTCAGTCGCCTCCGACTCTTCGTGACCTCATGGACCAGCCCACGCCAGAGCTCCCTGTCGGCCGTCACCACCCCCAGCTCCTTCAAGGTCAGTCCAGTCACTTCAAGGATGCCATCCATCCATCTTGCCCTTGGTCGGCCCCTCTTCCTTTTACCTTCCACTTTCCCCACCATAATTGTCTTCTCTAGGCTTTGCTGTCTCCTCATGATGTGGCCAAAGTACTTCAACTTTGTCTCTAGTATCCTTCCCTCCAATGAGCAGTCGGGCTTTATTTCCTGGAGTATGGACTGGTTGGATCTTCTTGCGGTCCAAGGCACTCTCAGAACTTTCCTCCAGCACCACAGTTCAAAAGCATCTATCTTCCTTCGCTCAGCCTTCCTATGGTCCAGCTCTCACATCCGTAGGTTACTACAGGGAATACCATGGCTTTGACTAGGCGGATCTTTGTTGCCAGTCTGATGTCTCTACTCTTTACTATTTTATCGAGACTGGACATTGCTCTCCTCCCAAGAAGTAAGCGTCTTCTGATTTACTGGCCACAGTCTGCATTTGCAGTAATCTTTGCACCTAGAAATACAAAGTCTGTCACGGCCTCCATGTTTCCTCCCTCTATTTTCCAGTTGTCAATCATTCTTGTTGCCATAATCTTGGTTTTTTTGATGTTTAGCTGCAACCCAGCTTTTGCGCTTTCTTCTTTCACCTTGATTAGAAGGCTCCTCAGCTCCTCCTCGCTTTCGGCCATCAGAGTGGTGTCATCTGCATATCTGAGGTTGTTAATGTTTCTTCCAGCAATTTTCACCCCAGCTTTGCATTCCTCAAGCCCCGCACATCGCATGATGTGTTCTGCATACAAGTTAAAAAGGTTGGGTGAGAGTATGCAGCCTTGCCGTACGCCTTTCCCAATCTTGAACCAGTCTGTTGTTCCGTGGTCAGTTCTGACTGTTGCTACTTGGTCCTTGTACAGATTCCTCAGGAGAGAGACAAGGTGGCTTGGGATGCCCATCCCACCAAGAACATGCCACAATTTATTATGATCCACACAGTCAAATAATAATAATAATAATAATAATAATAATAATAATAATAATAATAATAATAATATAAGGTCAAAACCAGCTTCCACCCCAAACCATATATAAATAGTCGTAAACCTCAAAACTCAACTCATTCCTATGGCACATGTCTTAGTTAAAGGCCTCCTTGAAAAGACATATTATAACAGAGATTAAATAAAATTCATGTTTATGTTTAAAGACTGGGTAGGCCTAGTTTACTTGCATCTGAGGAAGTAAGACTGAAGAGCGCATCTATACTGCAGAATTAATGCAGTTTAACATCACAAGATGCCTTTGCATATTTATCTGTCATTATGGTTCTGGAAATGATGTCTCCCAAGTTTCCTAATTGTATCTTGAGCACCACATTGCTGACAAACAACCGGGCTGTATCTCTTTATATCTGTTTATCTTCGACTTCCCTCATTTTTCGATTAATTGTTTGGGGCTTTCCCTTAACTTCCGCCAAGGGAGCCCGCGAGCCAGCGCTGCGGGCGACTCTAACCGTTTCCCGCTCTATGGGCGAAAGAGTTTACGAAGAGAGCCGGAAACTGGGACAGAAAGTTTACGAGAAGTCGCTCCCACCCCGCCCCACCCCCACCCTCCGAAAGCAACAGCCGGCGCGAGCCAGGTAGACACAGGCAGGCAGCCAGCCAGCGCGAGACCGGGAGCGGGGGACCATGTCCTCCAACGTGGCGGCCATGAAGAAAGTGGTGCAGCAGCTGCGCCTCGAGGCCAGCGTCAGCCGCGTGAAGGTGAGAAGAGAAAGGGGGGGGGGGAGGAGAAGAGGGGGGAGGGACGGCGCCTGAGGCGAAGAGTTCGGCCGCCATTACCGCGCCCTCCGGGAGGAGAGGGAGCGCTGGCTTCTTGGCTCCCCTCCTCCTTCCTCTCTCAAAGGAAGGAGGTTGGACTTGAATTGGGGAGACCGTTAGGCCGGGGAATACAGGAACACGGCGGGAGCGCCTTCTCGCGCTTTTTCTTTGTTCAGAGTGGGAACTTCTTCGCCTTCTCCTGAGGCCGAGTTAGCAATTCAGAGGAGCTCCTGTGACCGGGGTGGGATTCAGATTGGTCTCTAGAGCCTTACAAGAATTAAGGCATCAACTTGCAGTCTTGCGTTTTGATTTGCATTCTGTTAACACAACAGGTCAATTCTGTAGCTGTGTTTGGTATAAGTTTTTTTCCCCCTCTCATTTCTCTCTATAGAAAACTTAGACCAGTATTTACATTTATCTATCTATCTACAAATATATAGACTCTCACACACAATATACTCTCTCTCTCTCTCTCTCTCTCTCTCTCTCTCTATATATATATATATATATATATATAGTGTATGTATGTATGGATATATATATATATATATATAGAGTGTGTATGTGTGTGTGTATATATATATGGAGAGAGAGAGTGGTATAAGTTTTCTAGAAAGAGAGAACTTGTACCAAACACAGCTACAGAATTCATCTATTGTGTTAACAGAATGCAAATCAAAACGCAAGGTTGCAAGTTGACTGCCTTAATCTTCTATATAAATAAAAATGTAATGTTATCAAGGAACATGAAAGGCACTGCAGACTACTTTAACCAGAGAAGTCAGCCATAGCAGAGCACCTGATGAACCAGCCTGGACACAGCATATTATTTGAGAACACAGACCACAACCACCATGTCAGACTACACAGAGAAGCCATTGAAATCCACAAGCATGTGGACAATTTCAACAGAAAGGAGGAGACCATGAAAATGAACAAAATCTGGCTACCAGTATTAAAAAACTCTAAAATTACAACAGCAAAACAGCAGAGAGGAAACAACCAGGCACATCTTAACACCTCTCAACAAAAGATTCCCCCAGGCTCAGCCAGGCCTTCAAATGCTAATGAAGGTGGTCAGTTGAAACATTCACACCAACTCCAGCAGAGAAGAGCTCTTTGCCCCACCCTAGTCATTCCACAGATATATAAACCCATTTTCCTAATTCCAACAGACCTCACTACCTCTAAGGATGCTTGCCATAGATGCAGGCAAAACGTCAGGAGAAAATGCCTCTAGAACATGGCCATATGGCCCGAAAAAACCCACAAGAACCGAGTGATTCCAGCCATGAAAACCTTTGACAATACAATGTAATGTTCGTTTGTGGGATTAACATAACTCAAAACCCTCTGGACAAATTGCCGCCAAATTTGGCCACAAGACACCTACTAACCTAAGGAGTGACCATCACTCAAAAAAAATTGAGTTTGTCATTTCGGAGTTGTAGTTGCTGGGATTTATAGTTAACCTACAATCAAAGAGCACTCTGAACTCCACCAATGATGGAACTGAACCAAATATAGCACACAGGACTCCCACAACCAACAGAAAATACTGAAAGGGTTTGGTGGGCATTGACGTTGAGTTTGGGAGTTGTAGTACACCTACATCCAGAGAGCACTGTGGACTCAAACAATGATGGATCTGGACCAAACTTGGCACAAATATTCCATATGCCCAACTAGGAACACAGATGGAGCTTGGGGAAAATAGACCATGACATTTGGGAGTTGTAGTTGCTGGGGGAAAAACACTTTGAAATCAGGAACATATTTTTTTTCAAATTTTGTTTCATAGCGTAATAAATAATATGTATTAATATTAGCTATGGTGGTGCAGCAGGTTAAACCGCTAAGCTGCAGAACTTGCTAATCGGAAGCTTGGCAGTTTGAATCCAAGGACAGAGTGAACCCCTGTTGTTATCCCCAGCTTCTGCCAACCTAGGAGTTCAAAAACATGCAGATGTGAATAGATCAATAGGTACCACTTCTGCAGGAAGATAATGGCACTCCATGCAGTCATGCCGACCACAGGATCTAGGAGGTGTCTACGGACAACACCAGATCTTTAGCTTAGAAATGGAGATGAGCATCACCCTCTAGAGTTAGACGTGACAATGTCAAGGGGAAACCTTTACCTTTTATTGTTATTATCTACCATGGCTCAATCCTTTCCCCCCGTTTCTTTATAACAAATATATAAGGAGTGGGTAAGGTTACAAGAGTGGATATAGAACGGGGATTTTTTTTTTACATCTTATATCTTTATCATCCATTGCTATTGGCCATTATCCAATTCTGTGGCATCCTGGAAGATATAGTTTTAGTCTTCTCTGCCAGAGAGTGCTGGTGCTTCACCAAACTATGAATCCCAAGATCCCACAGTTAAAGTGGTGTCAATATACATTCATTCTTCAGTGTAGATTCACCCCTAAGCCAACGCTCAAACCATTACAGGCACTGTTTCACCTCCCTTTTTGACAAAAGAAATCCACTCCTTGGTAAGCAAACCATTGTAGCCCATCCCAAGATCATTGCTAGTAACACACATCTTGGCAGCAGTGGGATAGTTAAAAAACTTGGTGCCTGTTGTTGTGTCCCCTTCAAGTCAATTCCAACTTATTGCAGTCGTATCATAGGGTTTGCTTGGCAAGATTTGTTCAGAAATCATGACTAAGTAGGGGATTTGAACCCTGGGCTGCAGAATGTATAGTCTATCACTGGGGTTACTACACTGGTTCTGAAGACATTGCAGTGCTCTTCCCAAATCTGATCCCTGTTTCCTTGGTTAATCCAGACTTCTTCCCCTCAAAAGTTGGAGATAACAGCCTTGGATCTTTCTTGAAATGAAAGTTATGGGTTGTTTGGAGGGAGAGACATTTTAAAACTTATTTGGCAAACCCACTCAGCAAAATGGGGAAGTGCCTTAAGGCCCAGGGAGGACCAGGGAAAAGAAATTGGTCAGCACTTCTTTCCCAGCATTAAAAGGCCTCACTCCACCTTAGTTAACTGCTTCATCATAAAAGTGCTTTTTATAGTTTTCATGTGTGCAATCCAGTTATCTACCCATAGCCACATGAACAGAGGTGAAGAGACTTCGGTATTTTGAAATCTACTTCTTTTTCTTAATCAGATCCCCAAGATCCTTGTGCGTGCGTGCGCGTGTGTATGTGAGAAAGAGTTCTAACCATGGGGAGCTCAATACTGAATGCAGCTCACAAGTCTCTACATCCTTCTAACTTTCAAAACGATAGCTGATGAACTAGGGGCCCTTCCAGACCTATATCCCAGGTTTTCTGTTTATCTCATATTATCTGGCAGTGCGGACTCCTATAATCTACTTTAAAGCAGAAAAAATTGTCATTAAAACTATCTGGGTAGATCTACCTCCTGCCCATCCCAATCTGTACACTCCATTAAGGACATATAGTAGCATTGAAAACAGCTACTTATTGAGATACAATCATATAACTCATTTTAGTTTGTTAATGGGTTAGTTGAAGCCAATGTAGTTTTAAACATCCTTTTGTACTTTTTCACCCCGTTCCATCAAAGACTTTATGGAAGTAGCACTGTTTTTTCCTTTAAAAGGAAATTTAAGACATTCTGCAGAATAAAATACATTTTATCTGAAGGGCATTTGTATTGCTTTTCTTAGCACTCTACAGTCACCAAAAAGGAGTATTCTATATCACATTTTAGGAGTGTCACCTGCAGTTTTGGGGATGTAACATTATTATTGGACTAGTTCAAAGATCTGGGAGAGGACAATATTTTACTGTACAGAACAATGCTGCCATGTCATGGGGAATTTTCCTGCTGATCTGATGGTATTTTTAGCCAAGACTTCCTCAGACCGGATGGAGAAGCTCCACAGGTACTTGTGGTTCCTTTTCACAAGAAATCAATAAACTCCGGTAGTTTTGTATTTACATTTATACAAAAGATGGTGCCATCTCGTACAAGACAGGAACATGGCTTGAAAAGTACTGCTAGACAGGAATGGAAGACAGTTCTTTTAGGTATCAAATTAACAGTAGTCACGGAATTGGTGTTATGTTTGTGCCCAATTGCCATAATTTTATTTTCTGGAAACACCTAATGGATTGAACCCACCACTTTGAGTAGAACTTGCCTACAGCCAATCTTACCACATGTGATGAATGTACATTGATTCTAACTAGCTTAATTATTTTTCCACTTAAAAGCCACTCCAAGTCCCCTCGGAGACAGGGTGGATACAATTAAAGTTTGTTATTATTAGAATAATCATTCAAAAATTGATATTTTGTTTGTTTGCAGGTTTCACAAGCTGCAGCTGATTTGAAGCAGTTTTGTCTGCAGAATGCACATCACGATCCTTTATTAACAGGGGTATCTTCAAGTACAAATCCATTTAGACCACAGAAAGTCTGCTCATTTCTCTGACTTTGTGAAATGTATGGCTACTTTTCATGGTAAGTTTCATTAGTTTCTCTAGGTTTAGTAGGACGAAGTCTTATTCTATTCAGGTAGATGTTTATAAAAATATTTTATCCTGTCATATATTCAAGGATCTCATGGCAATATATAATCTGAAGAGTTTAAAACAATGTAAACATAATGATTAAAAGTATATTAAAAGTTAAATAAAATTTCTGTTAAATAAGGTACAGTAGGCCCTTATTATTAGCTAGGATTTGTTTCAGGTAATTTCTGTAGGTGCTGAAGTCCCATTATTTACAGTGGCATATCCCTTAGATCAGGCATCCTCAAACTGCAGCCCTCCACCTATTTGAGCCTCCAACTCCCAGAATTCCTGACCATTGAACAAGCTGGCTAGGGAGACCCAAACAGCTGGAGGCCTGCCTGAGAAAAAATGTAAAGTCTTAAGTTTGTTTTTGTGCTTTTTTTAATAGTTTAAAGGTATGGATGGTTGAACTTGAGGATATAAGTCACTTGTATTTTATACAAGACCAAGTTTCTCCTAGAAATCCAGTGTGGAATGGTATGAGCATTGGGCTAAGATTTGAGACCAGGGTTCAAAATCCCCACTCAGCCATGGAAACCCACTTTCAGCTTCAGAAAGAGCAGTGGTAATGCCCTCTGAACAAATGTTTGCAAGAAAACACATAGGCTTACTGTAAATTTGGGAAATAAAGGCACACAACAAGGTTTTACCTGTTACTGATCTGAGATCAGTAAGTGTAAAACCGTTGGGAGGCTGGGGGCACATTAACTATTCTGGGACCTTGGGTGACTGCATCTCATTAAAGTCCTCAAATACTCTCTAGGAGACATGGAGATTTTCACCTTGCTTTTGGAGCTCTGTACGTGTTTTGTCTTCAAGTTGACTTTTCAACTTCTGGCAGTATTGTGCAGTTAAGACAGCTTTTGCAGGCAAGAAATACTCAAGAGATGGTTTTGTCAGTTCCTTCTTACGAAATATTGGATAAACCCATGATGTATATTCTCTTTCCTATACAAATACAGACAAAGGCTAGTTAATCCTTTCTGTAAGAATTTGGAAGATTTCTTTAGTTATTCTTGTGATGTTAGTTCTGTCACTAACTTGTGTTTTTGTTTTGCTTTTCAGACTTTCTTACAACTTTCCCTAACTATCTACTCATATGTCGAAGCAAAGCGAGGCGACTGGGGACATGTACTGAAAATTTGCATCATTGTGCCAATTTAGATCTAGGAATACTTTTACTGTTATCAAACTCTTACAATCTACCTCTCTAAACAAACTGTATGCTTGCTACAATAATTCTTTATCATGAGGGAATTGATTTTATATACAAACAATAAAGATTGCCTTAATAACTTTCAGTGCTAATGTAAAGTTTTACAAGATAGGTAGAGTGCCTGTTTTCACAATGATTTCCTCATACCTTTCTTACTTGCTCAAGGAAGGAAAATGCTGTAGTATAACATACTCATTTGGTTGTACCCATACCTTTAAATTTCCTTAATACAAAATAGGGTTTGCAACCAGACACCACATACATTTGTATCCACTATAAAACTATTTGCAATTTCAGATAATTGTAATACTCTCTTGAAGTGGGCAGTATTTCTTTCCAAGGTATATTAAGAAATTAATTTCTTCTTTCATGAGACAGCTGGCGCCAAACTCCATCCTTAAGTATGTTCTACCACACACTACTTATAAACCTAACAAGTCTGTGAAGAAATTTACTCAGTAGCCGCTTGAGTTGTTTTGAGAAAGCTGTCTATGGTTGGCATCCTGATGATTAATCTCGACTAGAGGAGACACATTCATGTGTAAATGATGAGACACTTAGGTAGAGCCGACTGGATAAATGAGTCCACTCTAATCAAGACCAATAACAGACTTTACACATATATGCAATTTGCATGTAAAAATGGATACAAAACAAATCTGACCAATAGGAAATGTTAATTCATAATTCAATGTAGCTAACTTTATAAAAAATGATACTTCATATGTAATATTTAATAACTTGTGTAACTATTTAGGAAATTTCTTTGTAATCAAAATACCAAATGAAATGTTCATGCATCATAGATCAAAGCAAAATGTGATGATTACTGGTTAAAGAACTTGTGTTGAGCATGATATTCATATCTGAGCAAGGATCACATTGGTTTTAACTTAGAGACACATTCCCTTTTGAACATTACATATCTAATAAAGGGCACTGATTCAGTTTGGAACATTTCTATTTTAGTTATGACATGAAAGACATGCTATAGATATAAGACTTGGACTCAGCTTCCTTGCTTAGTACAGATAAATGGGCAATGGTGGGAAGCACTGCCATATACATTCATATACAGGTCAACCTTATGTATAATTTGAGTGCAGGTTTGGGTGCCATAATTATGGATTTTTATTTGGCCTATGTGTGAGTTGAGGGTAATTCCGCAGAGGGGAAAGCACCAATTCTGACTCGGGGACAGCAGCCTCTGATCACCACTGCCACTATTTTTTTGCTCTGACATTCAAAAAGGTCAGAAGCAGTGCCATGGCAGAGAATAGGAGGTCAGTATTTATTTTAGGTTCTCCTGGTATGCCTTTTGCTACTCATCAGAGCAGGGGATATTTTTGCCCCAGGGATAAGTTGACCTAAGTTTTTTGAGTTGATTCTTTGACTAAAACTTTGAGATGTATACATGAGTATATATGAGACAATCTATTTTCTCTTTTTATATATTAACACAGACATGTTTAAACCAAACATATTTCTTTATTCTTTCTTTGCTTTATAACATGGCAGTCCTTAATTATTGAATGCAAGTCGTAATATTCTGAAGTAGAAAACCCCACCAGGGTAGAAACATTGGGTAAATGTTTGGTTTAGACAACTAATTCTGACAAGCAGTCCAAATGTGATTTTTTGTTATAGCAAGTTTCTAGGTCTTAAAATACAATCTGCTTCTGATGAGAAATTACTTCCACAGAAAAATTAAGTAATTATGAAACAGCATTTTTTTAAAAAAAAAAGTTTTTAATTTCATGAGTGGACAGCAGATAGAATTTCTTGTCATCACACGAAATGTTCTGCTCCTTGTAAATAAATAGAAACACAATTAGGAAGTTATTCAAGGCACTGAAGACAATAAGAGTCTTATTAGAAGGAAATAAGGACAATAAAAGTCTTATTAGAAGGAAAAATGTCTTAGTGGAATTTTCTCCTTCAGACCAGGAGTTGCCAAAGACAATATCCCAGTCCTTATGCTATTAATTCAGCAGAAAAATGAAAAGCAGCAGTGTCTTCTTAATTTAGTCTTATAGATGGAATTTTCTTCGACTTGTGTCCATTTCACGGCGCTGAAAGATAAAGGATAAAATTTCCTAGAATTTGCTTATCAAATGAAGACATAACATTTTATTAGGGGGAAAAATAACTATTTGCCTCAGGACAACAGCTTACAAATACTTGTCAAGCATTTAGTTGCATTAGGCCTAATAAGAGGATTTCTCAGTATACATTTCTATGCCAGATTGAACTTTTTTTGATGATTAATGGTCAGGTTGATTTGGATTGTTTGTAGCAACTTCCTAGCTCTGATCACTTAAGCTTAGTCATACTACAGTGATTTTAAATCACCCTTTAGGTTATTGTCCAATTTGACCATTCCTCTTGATATAGAAAGAACTTCAAAGCTACTGTCAGAAACAAGTTCATTCATCAATGTCGTCATTGCAACTGATCAACAGTCTTCAGTAACTGTTGCCCGGTGGTGCAATGGGTTAGACTATTGTGCCAGCAAGACTGAAGATTGACAGGTCGGAGGTCCGAATCTGGGGAGAGCACGGTTGAGCTCCCTGTCAGTTCCAGCTCCCCATGCAGGATAAGAGAGAAACCTCCCACAAGGTTGGTAAAACATCTGGGTATCCCTTGGGCAATGTCCTTGCAGATGGCAAATTATCTCACACCAGACGTGACTTGCAGTTTCTCAAGTCACTCCTGACATGGGGGGAAAAAGTGACAGTAAAGCAAAGCTTCAATCTCACCTATTTTGGGGGTATTCAGAAGCTCTAAATGTACTACTAGTACAAAAACCATCCCAACTCAGTGCTTCAGTCTGAGGGACTGCAAACTGGCCCTTGGCTTAAAATGTTTGAGGATCCCTGATCTACACTATTAATATTCCTTATTATATAGAATTAGGTAGTTCTGAGTAATTACTAAAACAATACCTTATGGATCCATTCATATTCTCCAAACTTGGAATCAAATGTTCCTTTCTGAAGAGACCTTAATTTCAGGGTAAAACGTGGTCCCACTTCTTGAATTGCCACTTTCTTTTCATTTTTGAAGATATACCTTTAGAAGATAGTACTCAATATTAGCAAACTGGTACTACACAATTATTTCCCACCCTAGTAACTAGAGTGTCTGAACTCACCTATGGAATCTGAAAAAGATGTAGTCACGCTGATTGTGAAATGTAGCCACTTGTCTTCCAATGAAGTGAGGGTCATGTGGGAAAAGAGATGCAAACATACGACCAACGGAGTGGCCTAACCGTGTTGTAAAGTTGTTCAGAATAATTTCAGGTTGATGGTCTGTGGGAGCTTTCCCTTTTCGCTGAAAGAAGTGACACAAAACATTAATGTTATATCTAGCATAATTAAACAAGCAGGGTCAAGCCATGAAACTAAACTCACCTTAATTTCTTTACGGAGTCTAACACTACTCATCCTAAAATGAGCTGTTGGGCCTTCAGGCAAGTGACTTAACACAAGACCATCTATTCCAGGAGTTAAGATTCATAATAAATTGTGCACTATAGAATAAAATAGTGAAGAATAAAGCTTGTAGAACTTGACTAAAAGTGTTAACTTTTATTCCCGGTAAGCAGTACTATAGCCCAGAATAACTTCAACTCTCAAATATATCTGATATTAAAATTGCTCCAGGAAGTATCTCATCAGCAAAGGATACTAGGTATTTTGCGATCTTCATTGATCACAATCATATCAGTGAAGTCTCTTGCGATACACTGTGGAATAACTTTTTTTAGAGCCAGCCCTCTTCGATAGTAAACGTGCGAGTTTGGAATACATGTTGACAACTGTTCACAGAACCTCACAGTCCTCTAAAAAAAGAAAGGGGAGGTTATGCAAAAATTAAGTAAGATTATTTAAACAGAAATCAACACAACCTTAAAAATGCAATGCTATTATTTATTTGCATTATTTCTACGCCGCTCATATCAACCCGAAGGCGACTCAGAGCAGCTATGTATTGCTATGTATCACTACTCAGGTTATATGGACATTTCTATGTATCACATATTTAAGCATGGTTGGCAAACCTTTCGCAGGCAAGATTGATTCAGGTCATGCACACCAGGAATGGTATGCTAGTAATGTCACAGTGCCACATAACAAAGTAAATGAAGACACCCCATTGCTGCCATATGGCGCCCATCATGATTTTCTAGACATTATTCATCAATACAGAGCAATCAGCTTTTTTACAAGTTTGAGTGCCTTAAAAAGTCTAAATACAAATAGAGTTTTTCAGGAGTCACAGGATTAGGATTAACCCTTTCCTGCAATGCCAGCACTGATAGTTGTCCATGCTGCAAGGGTACTTCGAAAGGCTTCTGTGGGCACCAATGAAAGGGTTAAAAAATTCTGATACCATATGAGCAAGAATCTTTCCAACACAAAATGTGGAGGGCCAGATGTTGATTGTTCTACTTTAAACAGCAGATGGAAAATCTGATAGCAGAGACAAACATGTTCAACTCTGATAATTAAAGCCAGACAAACCAAAATCTCTGTCTTGCACAAGTAATTTGATTTGGTCAGATCCAAGAAAATGACAGAAATAAAAGCATGCATCACTTTATTGATACATTACATTGCTTTGCTGTGTTTATTTTTTAAAAAATTACTGTGTTCTTAAAGTCTATGCTATTTTAGTTTAATAGTCTCTTTCTGCATAAGTCTGAACACATTTGGCCTCAACATGTGTTCAGTGAATAGATTTAAGCATAAATTTGGGGCAGCAATAATAGTTTTCTGTTGGTCTATTAAAAAATTATGTTTAAAACCATAGCTTTCCCCTTTAAAGGGACTTCAGCCAAATTTATTTACAAAATACTGTGAAATCAAAATCCAATAGATGCTCAAGGGTTATGCTCCTCACATTATATACAATCATAATGAAATGAACATTTTACAGTTTTGTTTTGTTTTAAATTGTGCGCTTACTCCACGGGGTCTGTCGGATGTTGTAATAAGAATCTTTGGGACAGTTTGCCGGTTGAAGTAGGGTGCAAATTCATCTGTAGCTTCATCCAAAGCAACCTGGAAGTACACAATAAAGTGTAATGTAAGAAACTACACTTAAGTATAATTTGTTTTCAAAAATCAAGATCTTCAATTAGGGAAAGCAAAGCCCCACCAGAGCTATGCCAGCTCTTTATCATTTATGTCCTTTCAAAAAGGGTAATGGAATCTTAAGAGGTAGGAATGTTTTAGGTCACTTAAGGTTTTACACACTACAGTTCTCTTGAATAAACACAAAACTTTTAACTGATTTTGCTTCATCAGACTAAGAGGCTGCTTCCTAGAAATTCTTACATACAAGCTCACCATCCAACAAGAGATTGCCTGAACACAAGATGTAATTATTAGACAACGTGCACCAGACCCTTAAAAATAAGATTGGGAAAATGAAAAATAAGACATTTTAATTTGTCTTCAGGGTGTTGCTAGAGATACATTTTCAAGATGAGAGCAAGAACTACCTTAAACCAAGTGAAACTAATTTTCCATTTACGTCAACAAATCATTGTCTCTGGCAGCAGCTCTTCACTTTTTCCAACTCATCTACCTGATACTTTTAATCAGAACCACAGATATAACAAACAAAACCTTATACTGAGAATTTGGTGGTTTTAAAGAGTCCCACCAGCTCCCTGCCATTGTTCCTGTGATGAAAAACAAGAATGGCGCTTTATCCATATTACTGGATTGGAGTTATTTATCAAATAATTGTGCGTGTGACAAGTTGAATGAAAAACTATTAAGATATAATTTTGGGTGGCATTAATTTTCCTTTTGAAGCGTTCTCCAAAAAGAGGTACCTCTTCATCATTTGGATCAACTGTGGTTTCATCATATACACGCTGGTTTTCAATAGTCTTTGGGACTGGCTTTGGTGGTGCCTGCAGAAAATAAAAGATTAATGCATTAAAACAGATTTTCAATCAACATTTGCTGCAGTTAAAACGCTTGATGGATTATTTCATCAGCAGAAAAATCAAATAAACTTAAATAATTTATTTCAAATGCTTCAGATAAGTAGAGTTCTAATGCAGTGCAATATGTCCATGTTTCCCTGGAAATGCAAAATAATGGGTTTCATTCAGACTTAGTCATGTTTAAAGTCAATGGGATGTTAATGGTAAGGCTACATTAGGTCCCACTGACTCCAATGAATATACTCTAAGAGCAAGTAAGTTGTGGTTCCAACTCATGCACTCACATTTAAAGTAGTAATTTTATAGTTATTTAATACATTTCACAGTAGTGGTCAAATCTTAATTTAAAACTTTCCAGGTCAGATTTACTACATTGCAATAGTACATTATTCCCAGTACACTATTAATATTGCGAACTACATTTCATACTGCAACATGATGTGACGTGAAAGAAGTACTGAAAGAGATCCACATATTTCCTTATGTATCTTGCTTCCTATATAATCTCAGATGACCATTACTTGCTGACTTCCACGAAACACACATGAAAGACTGAATGAAATGTAACATAATCCAGTTGTGAAGCTATAACGTTATTAATAGTATCTTTTATAAATGAAAACTTGTCAGCCCTTAATGTATCATTTTACCTTGTCTCCAAGTGCTTCACGCTCCTTTTTCCTCTTTTTCTTAATTGCTAATTTTTCCTGAAGTAGGGAGGGAGGGAGAGAAAAAACACACATTGCTGAGTTAGAACACCAAATAAAGGCAAGAACAGGCATTAAAACATAAGCACCGTCACAGATCACATAAATGGGAACAATCCATCCATACAATGATCTAGACCAGGGGGTCCTCAAACTAAGGCCCGAGGGCCGGATACGGCCCTCCAAGGTCATTTACCTGGCCCTCGCTCAGGGTCAACCTAAGTCTGAAACGACTTGAAAGCACACAACAACAAAAACTAGTATTTCAATGGGCCCACACTTCCCATTGAAATACTAGTAAGTTTATATTTGTTTAAATTGTTCTTCATTTTAATTATTGTACTGTTTTAAAGTGTTTTTTGCACTACAAATAAGGTATGTGCATTGTGCATAGGAATTCATTCATGCTTTTTTCAAATTATGATCTGGCCCTCCAACAGTTTGAGGGACTGTGACCTGGCCCTCTGTTGAAAAAGTTTGAAGACCCCTGATCTAGACTTTAGAACAGTGGTTCCCAACCTTTTTTTGAACAGGGACCACTCCAACATTAGTACCAAAAGGGTTACGAATCAGTTTTTGGTCAACTTTAGATTCAGTTTGGTTATTTGGGGTGCTGATTCAAAAATTTGCACTGGACAGATACAGAACATATGCCATCTAGTAGTCGCTATCTGCTCGACCACAGAAAGCATATTTAATAATCTAGAGCTGATGTGGTAGAAGTAATCTTTCTTGGGTAGTCAGCCTCTCCCCTTCCGACATCCCCGTTGCCTCAGCGCTATAAGCGGGTTTTGTGAGACCAGTTGCTTGTTGCCATGTGGTTTCTAGGCAATAGTGTAATGGTGAGGCCACTGACCATATTTTCGTTCTTACGGACCACAGGTTGGGAACCACTGCTTTAGAAGAAACACTGAAAGGCACATTTTCCCTTTTCCAAGTTGCACAGAGTATTTTGGATTATCTAACTTCCATCTCACAGGTATCCTCAGTACAGGCAGCCCCCATGAACAAGATAAGTTGGTTTTGTATGAAAGTTGGAACATGAACATTTGTAAGTGTCACTCCAGCCTTGGATAGTATAGGAAAGGTTAACACCCCTGCCGTGCTTGTTTTGCTCTCTATGCCCGTTCAGAAGATTTCACCCTACTTTTTATCTCTTTGACAATTCGAATTAGAAAATTTGGGGTTGTTGTGCAAACAAAGATTGGTGATAAAGCTTCAGTGGAGACATTTTTCCCCACTGCCAGGAATGAATTTCCCATCCAATGGGTAGATTCCTCTCACTTCCTGTTGTCTCAGCCTTGTTCTTAACTATGAGTCATTTGTAAGTCAGATGTTTGTAACTCAGGGGCTGATTGTTAGAAATGAGGGCAGCAACTCACTCAACCCATGCAGTGGGTTCTATCGCTCAATAGGGATGGCTTGAATCCCTTGTTGGAAGTCAACCTCACACTGCTCAAATCTGCAGCCCTCAATAGGAATAATTAGCATTAAACTGAGGGAATACCCCCTTTCTTCAATGTCATCAATGTATCTATTTATTAGCTGCCTGTTTTTCTCTTCCTACTTTCTAACAAACCTCATGGTCTCCCTTCTGCTTTTTCCACCTTTACATGGACTTATATAATTATATGATACTACTTTAATGTGTTTATATTAGTGTATTATTGGATGTGATGTTTTTAAACTATTGTGTATGAATTCCTTGTTGTAAACCGGCCTGAGTCCCTCGCTGGAGGTGAGAAGACCGGTATATAAAAGTTCTAAATAAATAAATAATAAATAAATAAGACTTCTCTCTACTCTTGAGTGTTTGAAGACATGTAGTATTTGGAGGTTTTTCCTCTTTTTGAACCTTAGAAATAATGGAGTTAGAGAGAAGCTTAGACCCAATAGTTTTCTATCAAACATGAAGCTCCTATATATTTTTTAAATTAAATCTTTTTGAAATTTTAAAAATTGAACTCCGTATCTTTGCCTAATAAGCTCAATATTTTTTTTACAGCCACAACACTTCACCTTCTGCTTGCTGTGAGCTGACTGCTCAATTAAGTATCCTGTTTGTATTTTTGGATGCTCTGCTATTTTGGGATAATTCCCTAACATCCCTAACCAACATAACATACTCGCCTCCACCCTCCAATAATTCCTCAACATCTCCAGACCTCTATACTTGATTGACATTCTACATTTGAACCATTGATTATTCCCTTTTGCTATAGTCAGGTGTGTCTGTTTCCAAATCACCAACCAATTTATGAAAACCGCATTAATTTCATAGTTTTATTAGGCAGGGAATACCCAGAGCTTTTTTTTTTTTTTGCCTACTTGTGTGTGCATTCAATTCAAGGTGAAGTTATCATTGGGTTTTCTTGCCAATATTTGTTCAGAGGGGGGGTTGCCTTTGCCTTCCTCTGAGGCTGAGTGTGTGACTTGCCCAAGGCCACCCACTGCATTTCGATGGATGGAGCGGGATTTGAACTACGGTTTTCCAGAGGAGGAGGATGCATCTGCAAAGCAGAATTAACGCAGTTTGACACCACTTGAATGGTCACGGCTCGCTTAATGTTATGGGATCGTGGGGGTTGTAGTTGTGCAAGGCTTTGAGCCTTCTCTGCCAAGTTATAAATTCCAAGGTTCGAGAGCATTGAGCCGCGGCGGTGAAAGCGGTGTCAAACGGCCTTAGTTGGAGCGCCAGGCCAGAAGCACGCCGCCTCCTCCGGGGCCTTTCTTCCCCTCTTGGCCCACCTTTCTCTGCTGCTGCTTCCAGCGGAGGAACATGAAATGGCGCCGCTGCTTGTTCTTAATCTCGGAGACGCTAAACGTCGGCGGGAACGCGGCCTGCTTCTGCTCCGAGGCGCCTCCTTCCTTCTCCGCCTCGCCATCGCTCGCCGCCGGCTTCTGCAGCCTCCCTTTCCCCGTCCTGCCCGCCATGCTGGCTGCTTCCCCTCTGACCTTTCACCCCTCCCTCCGCCTTTCCGTTCCGGGGTCACGCTCCTCTGACGCCACCGCGCATGTGCAAAGCGAACGCCTTCCTCTCTCTGCGGCGATGAATTCGAACGCCTGTCGCAGTGGGCCAATCAGAAGGCAGTCTGTGCGCCTGCGTAGAGGGGAACCGTGCCGTCGTAGGGAGAAGGTCGACTGTTTGGGACGCTCACTTTGAAATGTTTATACTTGGTGTATATATATCAGGCCTGGGCAAACTTGGGCCCTCCTCCCTCCAGGTGTTTTGGACCTCAACTCCCACCATTCCTAACAACCTCAGGCCCCTTCCTTTTCCCCCTCACCGCTTAAGCGGCTGATGATAGAGGCAAGAGAGAATATTTTCCTTCCTTGATTCCCTTTTCTATTTATTTCCTTCCTTCCCTGCATACATATGTCACTTTAACAGTTGCCAGTCCACTTCGCTCCCTTTATTTCCTTCTCACATGATACAGGCCACTTCCCCTTAGCCTAGTTCCTTTTTTTCCTCTGCTCTGGACCCAAAAAAGTTTGGTTTTTTAAATAGTTCAAATTCAATTATTTTAAGTTGAATAATGAAGGTTGTGTGCCAAGTTTGGTCCAAATCCGTCAAGCCACGTAGGAGCCTTTGTGGTACAAACCAACCAACCTTCATACATACTTTGACTTTTATATCATCACCATCATCATTTAATAACTTATTAATCACCCTCCATCCGAGAATGCTCTAGGCGATTTACAGCTAAATTATAAAAGATAAAATACATACATACACAAATTAAAAACTAACAGAGATCAAATGCTCTAGTAAAAAGCCAGGTCTTAAGTGCGAGAGTAAAAGGCCCTATGTCACACATGGCTCTCTTGTAGGACAGCAAGGAATTCCATAAGGCAGGGGCAGAAATAGAAAAGGCCCTGCGTCTGGTCCTTTCCAAGTGCACTTCTCTAGGACCCGGTATATGGAGTAAGTCACGTTGGGCTGGTCGTTGCGACCTCCGATGATGGGAGAAGGAGAGGCGGTCCCTAAGGTACGATGGACCCTGGCCATAAAGAGTTTTAAAGGTCAGAACTAGCATCTTATACAGGCCACGGTACTCAGTTGGAAGCCAATGTAAATGTTGCAGCACTGGTGTTATATGGCATTTCATGGGCGTTCTTGTGAGTAGCCTGGCTGCCGCATTCTGAACAATACGAAGCTTTCGGGTCGTAGACATCGGAAGGCCCACATACAGGGCGTTGCAATAGTCCAGCCTAGACGTGACCGTGGCATGGATGACAGTTGCCAGAGCCTCGTCAGATAGGTAGGGTGCCAGTTGCCTCGCTTGTCGTAGATGGAAAAAGGCCTGTTTGCTGGCAGCAGCGACCTGAGCTTCTGTTGTCAGCTGTGAATCCACGATGACACCTAAGCTCTTAACAGTGGTCGATGGAGATAGGGCGGCACCATCGAAGGTGGGTAATGGAGGTATATAGAGGTAGTCCCCGAGTTACAAGTAACTCCTCGTTAAGAATAGGGGTATACTTGTTTGTATCACAAAAGCTGTTGCTTGGTGAAGTGATATCACTAGGGAAGAAAGGGGGCAGGCAGATTGGCTGCTGCTAGGTGATAAGTGTATGAGGGGAAAGGAGGAAGGAAGAAAAGGATGGAGGAAGAAAGCAAAAAGGGAAGGGAGGGAGGGAAGAGCCACAAAGTGCTCTGTTGTCATGGAGACATTGTGAAATAATAATAATAATAATAAGTTTATTTATTTATTTCTACTCAGGGTGGTTTACACACAAAAAAGGCAATCGTTAAATACTCTAAACAAGTACGAACATCAAAAATGCAAAATAATGCACAATATCATAAAAGAATTAAACATCGAAATGAAAACATTCCTTTTCTCCATCAGTGGTCACCTCGATCCACCCAGGAAAATCTCCTATACGTACCCCCTAGGGAGGTACACCTGGAAGCTACAAGGCATAGAGCTTTTTCGACCTATGCTCCAATTCTGTGGGACTCATTGCCTCCATATATTAGAGCAATGTCGGAGTTGCAACCTTTTGTAAAGGCACTCAAGACTTGGCTGTTTGGTTGTGCATTTAAGTAATCAGATCTAATTTGCCAAATAGTCACTGTTAAATGTTTTTATGTTGAATGTTTTTATATTGTGAAATGCTATTTTAGATTGTAAGTCGTTCGGAGGACCTTGGTGGAGAGCGACTAATTAAGAAATGAAGTGAAGTGAAGTGAAGTGAAAACAGAATAGAAATTATCCAATAGGACATAATACGAGGTAACACTAAAACATGAACATAAAAAGTAGGCCCTCTCAGAGCTGGAGAATGGATAAAGGGAGGGGAAGTGAGGAAGGAAAGAAAGAAAGAGAAAAGAAGGGAAAGAAACAAAAGGGGAGAAAGAAAAAGAAAGGAAGAGAGAAGAAAGGGGAAAAGGTATGTGGGGAGGGAAAGGGAAAGATGGGATAAAAGCAGGGGGCGTTAGCCCCTCCGACAACTGGGCAGCACTGGAAGCATACGCTAGTTAATACAGTAATAGTAATAGCTGTAGTAGTAATAAATGGAGAGGTTCTTCATGCATGCTGATATCCCACCTGTTATGTCCATAGCAGAGGAAATGGTTTGCGCATCTGCAAAATGGCAAAGCAACTTATCCACTGAGATCAAAAAGTTAGTTTTCTGCGGCAGACATTCTTTCTGATTGTGTTTGGGATATTATTGAATTTTTGCCAGAGCAGTGACTTTAGGATGATAATATAAGCAATTTTGAGTCAAACAGTGTACCACTTGTAGGCAGGGCTCCCCTTATATTGGCCGAACCCTCTTCCAATGGCTGATTCACCAGCAGAGGGAACTGGCAGCACAACTGCTCAACTAGTTATTCAAAGGGATGGAGCAAGGGAGGAGCCAGGTCCAAGCTTCCTCTCACTCAGCCACTATGGGTCCATCTACACTGCAAAATCAGTGCAGTTTGACATCCTTTTTAACTGCCATGGCTCAATACCATGGAGTCATGGGAGTTGTAATTTTGTAAGATATTTGATTGTTTCTGCCAGAGAGTGCTGGTGCCTCACCGAACTACCAGTCCCAGGCTCCGAATGCATGGAGCCATGGCAGTTAAAGTAGTGACAAACTGCATTATTTGACAGTGATCCTCTGTTGTGGCACTTTTTCAGCTACTTTTAAAATGTCGCAGTTTATCTCTCCTTTCCCCTCTTTCCTCAGTTCACTTCAATTACTGCAAGCTGAGTTCAAAGTGCAAAAGCGGTTAATTCACCTGAGTAGAGGGGAAGGGAGGGCACGGAGAGGGCAAAATTTTGTCTTCCTGGTAGATTCACTCAAAAGCAAACTTCTGCAGCACCCCTAACTTTGTGTGTTTTCCTCCTTATCAACATCAACTGTTGCTTGACCACAAGTGCCCAGTTTTCATCTCTGAAATATTGGAGCATAAGTTAGACAATTTAGTAAAAATTAGTGCTTATAACAAAGGGTACCTCTCAATGTCATTTGAGTGACTTTGTGGATAGTTTTTTCACAGGCGTCAGCCACTTAAAAAGTGGCGTACCAGTTCAGCACCAGGCCATATAAAGTCCCATGGAGGAAGATCACTGGGCTTTAAGACTCCCGCTCCCCAGCTACAGGCTGACATTAGCCCCAATGACTCACAACTAGAAATGTGTAAGTTCTGTGCTTGCAGAATTTATATTGCATTTGTTAGCTATTAGAGAGATGTTTTGATAAACTGATATGAACAAGTGTAGACAAAACACTCCTCCTCTCCTTGTCTTAAGTGTAGGGACGAATGGGGTCTTCTCAAAATTACAGGGAGATTAGATGACAACACTAGTGTGTTTGTAGGTGACTTTCAGTCACTTATCAACTTATGGTCACCCCATGTATTTCATAAGGTTTTCTTAGGCAAGGGATATCAGAGGTAATTAAAATTATTGGGCTGTCTGGAAACATCTACTCACAGAGAACAAATTGGAAAGTCAACTATTTCACACTAGGTATGAACCATGTCTCTTCCTGTGAGCTGCACATGTTTAATGTTTGTTGCTGAATTCATTAAACAAAAAGAATGTATAGGTATTATCAGCTATTTCCTTTTATCCTTGAATAGTTGTAAGAACCTGTATGCCCTCTTGAGTACTGCTGCTGAAGAAGAGAAGTTAGAGGGATGTTGTTCACATCCTGCTTGTGGGCTTTCTATGGACACCTTGGCTGGCAAAAGCCATTGTGTAAACAGAATGCTGGTCTTGTTAGTCCTTTGCTTTGATCCAGCAATTTCTTGTCTTCTATCTGCCTTCTGGCAGAATAACAAAAGTTGGGGAACTTGGAAAACACAAGCAAGGATTTGGGGCAAATAGGGACATTGAAGCCCTCTTGCTTTATTTACTAAATAATACCTTGCTGTTTTCATGTTGAAATGGGGATTATTTTTTTAGCCAGTAGTGGCTGAACACACATTATGTTGTCTTTTTGAAGTTCATCACCTCAGAAATGATAAGTACTTAATACGATGCTAAGTATTTAATTAAAAATATGAAATAATGAGCTTCTCGAGGAAAGCACATTGCCTTGATTATATATAAAGTGGTTTGTTTGACACAAATTTCTAAGAAATAGACATGGTGAAACCACTTTGTGGCCCCATTTCTTTGTGGCTCTCCATCTCCATCTCTCACACCAACAATGTGATGTGGCGGCAAAAAAAGCCAATGGGATTTTGGCCTGCATCAATAGGAGCATAGTTGTCTAGATCTAAGGAAGTAATGCTACCCCTCTATTCTGCTTTGGTTAGACCACATCTGGAATATTGTGTCCAATTCTGGGCACCACAATTCAAGAGAGATATTGACAAGCTGGAATGTGTCCAGAGGAGGGCGACTAAAATGATCAAGGGTCTGGAGAACAAGCCCTATGAGGAGCGGCTTAGAGAACTGGGCATGTTTAGCCTGAAGAAGAGAAGGCTGAGAGGGGATATGATAGCCACGTATAGAGGAAGCCACAGGGAGGAGGGAG